GCACTTCACTTCGCTATTCGTGTTTGCTATTTGTAAACATGACATCAGAAAACTACCGGTTTGTTCTTTGCATTCCATGTAGAGCATAACAAGGACAGACTGATGTCAAGTTTACTAATTAATAAACACAAATAGCTAAGTTTAGTGCCAGCATTAGACATAGGTATCGTTCTCGCTCGATTCTCTAAATTTAAACTTAAATTTGACAACAGTGTATCCTTGTCATTCTCTAAAGAAAAAAAGGAGGGACTGATGTTAAGTTTAGTTTTATTAATCTGTGACTTTGAGTCCGTTCCGTCCACAGAGTACGTAATTTTATCTGGTTCCTTACCGTCTGTTGTTTTGTGTTTGGTTTGGGTCTTGTTTTGTTGATTGGATTGGTTGGTTTCTATTTGATTCAGCCACTGTAATCTTAATTTATCACTGTAATTCAAAGAAGTTTTACCTTTTATAATCATCTTAGTGGCTAATTCAGTGAAAGCGCGTCGATGGTAGAACTATTTAATGACTTTTTAAAGGATCTTTTTTACGTGGATTCTTTGTTGAATATCAGTTGCGAGAGAATCCTGTTTTTTATCAAAGAAGTTTACTGTAATTATTCGATAATGTCTCGTTTGCAAGCATGCAGAGTATGCTTGGCACATCATAGCCGTATGTATTCAATACAGAATGGGCCACTTCAAGAGATTTACGAAAAAGTCACTGAAACTCCGGTAAGACTGCTTTTCTTTAATTGCATGGAAAATAATTGTTTTTTCTCCCTCTTGCAATAAACTTTATATTAAATATTGCTAATGTTTATTGTATAACTAGCTTATTGTGAAGAGTATTCAAACTAAGTATGCTTTTGGTCCAATTTTCATTTAGCATTCATCAAAATGTATGTTGGATCTGATTTCCGAATGATTTCTCTGATTCTGATTTACTGTTGATGTACATGTAAGGTTGATATGATGATGTTTTATTTTATTATTTAAAGCATGAATCTTATGCTTTGGTCCTCATGCTCTCACTGAGAGAATTACAAATTTGCTCTACATTGATCAGAGTAGTATTTACAATACAATACAATAACTCTATTGTACACCACAAAAAACGTTGAACATTAAGTACAAAACCATCTAGTACATGTAATGCAATGGGCGGCCTTATCGCTTAAAGCAATCTCTTCCAGTATTTAGGGTAGGCTGTGACTCGGGAAGGAGTCTTTAGATAACCTGTTCTTGCTTCTCCGATGGTTTAGGGAGGTGTAATGCCTTTTCCAGATTTAAAAAAGGGCAGGCTGTGAGGACCCGCTAGAAAAGCTGCGAGGTGAAGCAGAAACTATCTATAAGTATTCATTGATGTCGATTCTGGCATGATTCTCTAAAGCTAAACTTAAATTTGACAACAGTGCCTCCTTGTCCTTCTCTATACAGAATGAAAAGGTGAGGCTGACCTTAAATTTAGTTTTAAGTTTAGAGAATCACGCCAGAATTGACACCATTATTGACCCATACCTTGATTTGGTTTACTAATTCTAGGGGAGAGCAGAGTAGAGGTGCAAGTCGTAAATGGCCTAGGGCACTAGATTTGAAATACCCCCCTTAAGTTGATCAAGAGCTTAGGTCTTTGATCCAAATAGATATTATTAATTTTTTAACAGGATTATATAAAGAAGGCATCATAATTTTCTTCTACTCTAAACTAGCATTTATGAGCAGTTAGTCGAAATTAGAATTATATTAGGGCTTTAAAATGAATACCTATAACTTTAGTTTTTATAAATTTAGTAAAAATGTTGTCTATTAATGAATGTATCATTTTTGTATGTGATTTTAGCTTTTAATGAATGACACATGGCCGACATGCTTATGTTACATTTGCTACCATATGATGAGGAAATTCCGCAAGTTTATAGATAAATCATTAAAGGCAAACAAGCTGCTGTTGCAACTCCTCAGTTCCGAATCTGAGGTAAGAAATTTGTACGAGCTGTACATACGTAATTAACTAATTAACATAACGTATAACGTAATTAACATTAAAATAATTTCAAATTGACCCAGATTACTTTTAAGCATACTCATCAATTGTATTTTCCTTTGCACAATTAGTTACTGAAATAAATTAGTGTTTTTACAGCATTCAAACAGTTCGGTTTTATTTAGCACTCCTTTGAGTAACCTTATAAATAATAATAAATAAATATTTCCAACACTCACACCAATTAGCCTAGCCCCAAAGTAAGCACTGTAGGCTTGTGTTATGGGATACTAGGGTAACGGATAGAATACATATACTGTATATATATAAGTATATTTATATAGAAAATACATATTAAACATCCATGACTGGAGTACAAATGCTCGTATTCATCACACAAACATCTGCCCCCACCGGGATTTGAACCTGGGACCTCTCGAGCCAGCGACACCATGAAACCCAGCGTACAAACCACTCGGCCACGGAGGTCGTCATACCCTTCCTTAACCCTTGCCCTTAGCAAGCATCAAGTGTGGGAAGCAACCCCCACAAAATTATTGCATAAACATTGCACTAAAACATTGTTTTAATGCAGTCATTGGTAGCCAAAATTGTACACTGTCTGGATTTTACAAAGAAAATTCTCATTATGGTAATTGCTTCCACTTCTTTGTATGTACATTGTACATTATATGGTTTAGAACTCCGAAAATTAAAAATACTGTCAATAAATTAATAAATTTTGTACTATTGTGTACATAATATAAATTAAAGTCATTCTTGATTTAAAACCTAACGCTGTCTTTGTCTTCTATTTAGCAAAAATAGAAGACAAAGGATGCATTTTAGTCACTCTTTTGTGTTATGGATTAGTAAATAATTACAATCAATCACTGCAAAATTATTTGCAATTATTAATTTTTAAGTATTTTTTTTTATAGGTTACCACAGACACACTAGATATGATTGTGACGCAACAACCTGATATCATTTGGAAGTTTGCCGTGACACCAATAGAAAGTATTTTGCCTTTAGACTCAGAAGAGGTGAAATTGGAGGCTACATTCAAGATTGAGAAGGTGAAAGCTGAATCGGACTTTGAAGAGACGCTAGATCAAAAAGAAGCAGGTATGTATACCACATTTAACAACCAATGTGGTGTTAGCGGAATGTACACCAGTATTCAAAGTCAGTCTACTCCGAGGTCCCTTGGTTTGAATCCCAGTGGAGCTATAGTTTGTATGATTTGTACCGAAGTCTTATATCATAAACAGATCATCATAAAATATCTTACAAATTATAAATAAATATCAAAGCTTAATTGTCATAGAACGAAACGGTCTCATATCATTGCGTTCTATTATAGACTGTATTTACTTCATCATTAATTACAAATTGGCGTGTAGATAATCCGAGGACTGGTTGTTCAACGAAGACTGTTTTGATCCGAAACGTAAAACGGTTCTATCGTCGCGGAACGCAAAACGGTCCTTGAAACAGGTTCGTCTTCAGAACGCTCACACCTAGTATTGACGCTGCTTTTTGTTAAAGTATGTAGTGAAAGCACAGTATATGTATGAAAGTAACAATAAAGTACTTTAATTTTTATTTGGAATTGTAGATCTGTTAGCTCATTTTTCATCGTCGAAATGAGTAACCAACCAAAATATACCTATAATGTAAATAATGTGATAAAAACACATTACTTACCATTTATATACCCGAGCAAAATGCTAATATTCTTTCGCACATAGTGAGTTAGGATTTCTTCAGTGATGGCTTCTTTGGAATTTAGCAAATATCTGGTGTAGGTATGTGCCCAGCCGAAAATGGTAAGTTTATAAACACAGATACCTATATACTGGTCAAGTTTTTTAAATAAAAAATAATGAAAGAAAGCCTATTTCATTGTATTTTTTTTTTGTTCTAATTGTCAATTTTCACAAACATTGTTGACATTTTGATTTTGACTTTTGACCACAGATTAATTAGGTATATAAAATTTTTAACATACTCCCCTTTTTCAGGGAGGCAAAGGGAACAATACTCATGCAGCCTAGTCTTTAATTTTATTCTATTCAACATTACAATAAAATTCTCACGTCCACTTGATCGGAATAGCGTATATTATAAAAAAATCCACTTATTCTTCAATTTCGCAGACGGTTGGAACACAAAATCATACCAATTTTGTGTCACAGTATCCACTATGAAAGAATTTAAGAATAACTAAAATAAGACACCAACCGTTCTCGATAAAATCGAGCCAAAAACTCTATTTTATACGTGCTATAGGATTGCGTTCTAATCCTCAAACCTACCTCCACCTCCATAGGTGCAACAAATGTCAGACATAAGTTTCATAAAGGAAAGCAACAGGAAAGTTCAGCTCAGCCAAGGAACTTATATATATAAGTTTCCTGAGCTCAGCTCAATGAGTTCAGTTCATTCAAAAATTTTGGTCTGAAAGATACTGAATATTGAGCCGGAATACTCTTTCTAATGACAATCAGTCAAGGATTTTTTATGTTGTTGTTGGTGTTTTGGATATTTGATCTTTAAGGTGGCACTTCACTTCGCTATTCGTGTTTGCTATTTGTAAACATGACATCAGAAAACTACCGGTTTGTTCTTTGCATTCCATGTAGAGCATAACAAGGACAGACTGATGTCAAGTTTACTAATTAATAAACACAAATAGCTAAGTTTAGTGCCAGCATTAGACATAGGTATCGTTCTCGCTCGATTCTCTAAATTTAAACTTAAATTTGACAACAGTGTATCCTTGTCATTCTCTAAAGAAAAAAAGGAGGGACTGATGTTAAGTTTAGTTTTATTAATCTGTGACTTTGAGTCCGTTCCGTCCACAGAGTACGTAATTTTATCTGGTTCCTTACCGTCTGTTGTTTTGTGTTTGGTTTGGGTCTTGTTTTGTTGATTGGATTGGTTGGTTTCTATTTGATTCAGCCACTGTAATCTTAATTTATCACTGTAATTCAAAGAAGTTTTACCTTTTATAATCATCTTAGTGGCTAATTCAGTGAAAGCGCGTCGATGGTAGAACTATTTAATGACTTTTTAAAGGATCTTTTTTACGTGGATTCTTTGTTGAATATCAGTTGCGAGAGAATCCTGTTTTTTATCAAAGAAGTTTACTGTAATTATTCGATAATGTCTCGTTTGCAAGCATGCAGAGTATGCTTGGCACATCATAGCCGTATGTATTCAATACAGAATGGGCCACTTCAAGAGATTTACGAAAAAGTCACTGAAACTCCGGTAAGACTGCTTTTCTTTAATTGCATGGAAAATAATTGTTTTTTCTCCCTCTTGCAATAAACTTTATATTAAATATTGCTAATGTTTATTGTATAACTAGCTTATTGTGAAGAGTATTCAAACTAAGTATGCTTTTGGTCCAATTTTCATTTAGCATTCATCAAAATGTATGTTGGATCTGATTTCCGAATGATTTCTCTGATTCTGATTTACTGTTGATGTACATGTAAGGTTGATATGATGATGTTTTATTTTATTATTTAAAGCATGAATCTTATGCTTTGGTCCTCATGCTCTCACTGAGAGAATTACAAATTTGCTCTACATTGATCAGAGTAGTATTTACAATACAATACAATAACTCTATTGTACACCACAAAAAACGTTGAACATTAAGTACAAAACCATCTAGTACATGTAATGCAATGGGCGGCCTTATCGCTTAAAGCAATCTCTTCCAGTATTTAGGGTAGGCTGTGACTCGGGAAGGAGTCTTTAGATAACCTGTTCTTGCTTCTCCGATGGTTTAGGGAGGTGTAATGCCTTTTCCAGATTTAAAAAAGGGCAGGCTGTGAGGACCCGCTAGAAAAGCTGCGAGGTGAAGCAGAAACTATCTATAAGTATTCATTGATGTCGATTCTGGCATGATTCTCTAAAGCTAAACTTAAATTTGACAACAGTGCCTCCTTGTCCTTCTCTATACAGAATGAAAAGGTGAGGCTGACCTTAAATTTAGTTTTAAGTTTAGAGAATCACGCCAGAATTGACACCATTATTGACCCATACCTTGATTTGGTTTACTAATTCTAGGGGAGAGCAGAGTAGAGGTGCAAGTCGTAAATGGCCTAGGGCACTAGATTTGAAATACCCCCCTTAAGTTGATCAAGAGCTTAGGTCTTTGATCCAAATAGATATTATTAATTTTTTAACAGGATTATATAAAGAAGGCATCATAATTTTCTTCTACTCTAAACTAGCATTTATGAGCAGTTAGTCGAAATTAGAATTATATTAGGGCTTTAAAATGAATACCTATAACTTTAGTTTTTATAAATTTAGTAAAAATGTTGTCTATTAATGAATGTATCATTTTTGTATGTGATTTTAGCTTTTAATGAATGACACATGGCCGACATGCTTATGTTACATTTGCTACCATATGATGAGGAAATTCCGCAAGTTTATAGATAAATCATTAAAGGCAAACAAGCTGCTGTTGCAACTCCTCAGTTCCGAATCTGAGGTAAGAAATTTGTACGAGCTGTACATACGTAATTAACTAATTAACATAACGTATAACGTAATTAACATTAAAATAATTTCAAATTGACCCAGATTACTTTTAAGCATACTCATCAATTGTATTTTCCTTTGCACAATTAGTTACTGAAATAAATTAGTGTTTTTACAGCATTCAAACAGTTCGGTTTTATTTAGCACTCCTTTGAGTAACCTTATAAATAATAATAAATAAATATTTCCAACACTCACACCAATTAGCCTAGCCCCAAAGTAAGCACTGTAGGCTTGTGTTATGGGATACTAGGGTAACGGATAGAATACATATACTGTATATATATAAGTATATTTATATAGAAAATACATATTAAACATCCATGACTGGAGTACAAATGCTCGTATTCATCACACAAACATCTGCCCCCACCGGGATTTGAACCTGGGACCTCTCGAGCCAGCGACACCATGAAACCCAGCGTACAAACCACTCGGCCACGGAGGTCGTCATACCCTTCCTTAACCCTTGCCCTTAGCAAGCATCAAGTGTGGGAAGCAACCCCCACAAAATTATTGCATAAACATTGCACTAAAACATTGTTTTAATGCAGTCATTGGTAGCCAAAATTGTACACTGTCTGGATTTTACAAAGAAAATTCTCATTATGGTAATTGCTTCCACTTCTTTGTATGTACATTGTACATTATATGGTTTAGAACTCCGAAAATTAAAAATACTGTCAATAAATTAATAAATTTTGTACTATTGTGTACATAATATAAATTAAAGTCATTCTTGATTTAAAACCTAACGCTGTCTTTGTCTTCTATTTAGCAAAAATAGAAGACAAAGGATGCATTTTAGTCACTCTTTTGTGTTATGGATTAGTAAATAATTACAATCAATCACTGCAAAATTATTTGCAATTATTAATTTTTAAGTATTTTTTTTTATAGGTTACCACAGACACACTAGATATGATTGTGACGCAACAACCTGATATCATTTGGAAGTTTGCCGTGACACCAATAGAAAGTATTTTGCCTTTAGACTCAGAAGAGGTGAAATTGGAGGCTACATTCAAGATTGAGAAGGTGAAAGCTGAATCGGACTTTGAAGAGACGCTAGATCAAAAAGAAGCAGGTATGTATACCACATTTAACAACCAATGTGGTGTTAGCGGAATGTACACCAGTATTCAAAGTCAGTCTACTCCGAGGTCCCTTGGTTTGAATCCCAGTGGAGCTATAGTTTGTATGATTTGTACCGAAGTCTTATATCATAAACAGATCATCATAAAATATCTTACAAATTATAAATAAATAAATAAAAGGCGACACACTAGTTATACTCTAAAACCCAAACTTTGTATGGGAGTAGCCATTTTCTTCTTACATCTGGGTAGGAGCGCTGCTTTGTTTTTTATAGAAACTTTGCCTATGGGATACAATTATGAAGGAGCTGTCAAAGTCCATGCTTGGGACCCTGGTATCGCAAATGTCTATAAGCTATCATAGCTACTTAATGGCATCGATTCTTGCAGGATTCTCTAAACTTAAAACTAAATTTGACATCAGTCTGTCCTTTTCAGTCTGTATAGAGAATGACAGAGATACACTGTTGTACAATTTAAGTTTAGCTTTAGAGAAGCATGCCAGAATCGACACCACTATCATGGCTAAATCGCTGGACTGATTTAGATGAAGTTTGGTATAGTACAGAGATGATGTTGGAGAAGGACATCAACTACTTTAAATCACAGAGGTAGGTCTATTAAAGGCGATTCTGTCATTTTCTATTTCATTTCAGATTACACAGTTCCTATAGAATTTGCCAATGATGACCCGTCGAGTGACTCGGAGGACAATATGCCACTCCAAAATATCAGGACAAGAAATACTGAGAAAATAAAGAAAAGACCAAAAGTCAAAATTAAAAAGAAGAAGAATGTTCCAGAACTCAAGATACCACCTAAGAGTAAGTTAAGTTTAAATTATATTTTCAAAATATACTTTCAGGTCATTCAAAAATCATGTGCAGACTTTTGTCTGTGGACATTTTAGTGTCCGCCAAAATAGATCGCTTACAACTGTGACGAGTAACGCACGATGGATTAAAAGTACCGCGTACAGGAAGTCCTCGAGCAACCGAGGACACCGAGAAACCGGAGTGGACAAAAGTTTTTTTTATTTTTTGTAGATAGGTCCGACAAATAACTTCACCCCACGATGTAAGTGAAGGTGAAGTCCAGACGCCAAGATAGCTGATACAGCAGTTTTACCTGCCACACCAGCCATCCTCACCCTGCCGGCCCGCATTTTGCTTCTTCACGCCTCTTTTAAAGAATTCCAGGTTGTAAGAAGGAGGGAACACGTGAGCGGGTAGAGCATTCCATTTATGGATAGTACGACTAAGAAATGAGTCATCAAATTTTTTTGTACACGTTGGAATTGTAGCCACAGGTGACAACGTGGCCAGCACGCGTGGTCCTCTGAAGGAAAGGGGAAAGGTGAAATAAGAGAGAATAACTCCTCAGAACACTCGCCGTGGTACAGACGATAGAACGCGCTTAGTGACGCCACGGCACGGCGTAATTGAAGAGGCTCGAGGTGTTTAGTCACCTCCTCATCGCCTATGATGCGGATTGCGCGCCGCTGTAACCTATCCAAAGCATCGAGCAAGTACTTGGCGGAGCCATCCCAGAGTACGCGGGAGTCCCTGAAAAAGAAAAATTGGTTGTCTGTAAAGTCCTTTACGTACGATCATTGGTAAATTTATAGTCCAGCAGGGCAACTAACCATAGACTGTAAAAAAATGTTTTACCAGTAAAAGTGTCTCTAGATTCAAACCTCTAGCTTAAAATAAAAATTATAATAAACAGAGACTGGTTTGGATGCTTACGGATTATGCTCCAACATGTTGCCTTCAATAAAAAAAACATGTTATAAATTTATTTGACAAAATCTCGTAGCTCGTACAGGAAGACCAGAAATCTCGTATTTGTACGAGAATTCTCGTACGGTTGGCAACCCTGTCTGTTAATGCGAGCAACTCACACCGGCGAGGCGAGTACTTTGGCCCAAATAGTGCGCCTTGTGGAAGACGCGCAGAGCAGCTAGGCGCTCGTACAGCGCCTGGCCGACACTATAGCCGTGTGAGAATATATAGCATAAGGATGATCAAGGCCGATCTTGCCTCTCTATCGCTTGTTCCGCGCTCTCGCTTGCACGCTCAGGCTCAGGCGGAACGTGACACTTTTTCGTGCGTGCAGCTGGTGTTTATAGAGTATTTGACAAGTTTTAGAAAACGATCTCACGTTATTGACTTATATTTATGGAGTCCGTAAAAAGTGGATATACATCATTTTGTTGTGTATTTCAGTAGAAATAACCAGATCAAAAACGTTTCTCTGGACAATATGGCGTCTTACTAGTGTGTGACGTTACACGACTGTTATTAAAACGTCAAACGATACAATGTAATGTCACTTTAACCGGAAGTTTACTTGCGTGTGACGTCATTTTAGGCTCGGCGCCAATCCCAAGCGTTTTGGGCCACATGACAATAGATAAGAAAACTATTATCTTTTTCGTTAGTTTTTAGTAAAATTATGAATATTTTTATTGTAAAAATAGTAAAAACCCCTGCCAATATTCATTCTAAACACAGATGCTAACAATTGGCACTTTATTTTTAACACTGTCAAATACCCTATTATAAGACGTTGTCACGTCAAAAAAAACTCATGTGACAAATCGCAGCAACGCACACAGCGAACTAAAGTTCACATTGCGCGTTCGATCCGATTTAAAGAGATAGACCTAGAATCTTATAAAAAGTTATTTTCTAAAACTTAATTTTAGTTACAACACAACGTAATCTGAGCGTATTTACTTCCATAGCGTGCGCTTCTCGAAATTTTCAGGCAACAAATCGAGCCGTTACCGCCAAATTATCGTAAGCGACACTTTTGTCGAAATGCGTTGTTTGTGGAAACTAATATTTTAAACCGTAACGGACCCATCTCTGTTGATATTTCCCTCCAAAAGAACACCGTTATAATATAATAGAGGGAAGAATAGAGGGAAATATCAACAGAGATGGGTCCGTTACGGTTTAAAATATTAGTTTCCACAAAAAACGCATTTCGACAAAAGTGTCGCTTACGATAATTTGGCGGTAACGGCTCGAAATGTTCGCACACTTTGTGCGTTGAGTCCGTGACAATGACCACCGATGGTCATTTTTAGAGTTCCGTAGCCAAATGGCAAAAAACGGAACCATTATGGATTCGTCATGTCTGTGTGTCTGTCCGTCCGTATGTCACTGCCACTTTTTTCGGAAACTATAACAACTACAGTCGAAACCGGATATAACGACATTGACACTTCGGACGTTATGTCCGATAGTTGTTACAAGCAATATACACAAATAGTCATATTATTGTCATATGTATGTATGTAGTATGGTTATAGATAATGAATATAAGCTTATTTTCAAATAATATATCGAAAAAAGAAGTAAAATAAATTATTATGAAGAAATTCAAGTACCTACAGTATATTTTGTTTTGCTGGAACAAGTAAAACGGTTGGTTGTTATAGCTAGACCCGTCTTTCCCAGTGGGCACTTTGGGCAAGTGCCTAGGGCCCCGCGATCGATAGGGGGGCCCCTCAGATCAAATACAAAGTGCCTAGTTCCTGTTAAATCACCAAACGGAAGTCAGAGGGGCCCCATTATCCTAATATGGCCAGGGCCTCTTATAGGTCAAAGACGGCACTGGCACGGTAATATTATCTATACAGTATTGTGACTCCGCCCTGTCCTTGAAAATAAATGCCTACACCGAACGCTGCGTTGGCACGCGGTAGGGCCGCCAGCCTACAGTATTTTATGTAGTTTTGTTTTTAACGCGAGTGTAGGTAGATTACTCGTTTGTCTCTTTTTTTCATCCTAACCACTTATTTATATATTATTCCAGATATTTTGCCCGATGGAAAAACCGAAATACCTAAATATTAGAAACAAATAACGTACTAGTAGATAGGTATATAAAAAATATTCTATAAAGGTAAGACACCTTTCCAATATTTCAGGTAATTTAAAAAATGATATCTCTGGGTGTGTTATTGAAGAGTTCAAGCAACCAAAAACAGCAATTGTGCTGTTGTACGATATTGATCGTCGTTTGTTCTTTTCCATACTAAATTATGTAGGTATCTACTTAATTAAATCAAATATTTACAATACAAAACGCATGTTTAAGCACGGCTAACTGCATAAAACACAATTCAGACTGTTCGGTCATCGTTGCGGCGCGGCGGCGCATTCGCGACTGGGTGCACGCCGAGAGCACATCGAACTCGAGTGGCGTAGGTATGACTCGCTTTCCGACCGTTTGTATGAAGATAGAATACTGTATGATATTATTACCGTGGCACTGGTTATTCGCTATGTGCACGACAGAGCGCCACCTACAATACGCAACTTTCCGGGATTATGCCAAATAATGACATCAGTTTGTATTTTATTGATTTCTAGTAAATATAGTAAATTAAAGATAAATAAAAATTATTATATATTGTATAATAATTTAAATACTGTCGGGTTTCAATTCGGAATTTAGTACAGTCAATAATAACTCTTGTATTGATGTAATCTGGACTGAAACACTTGGGCATTGTTGCTTGTACGGTGGCTCTATTCGGCCAAAAGATTAAATTAGCAGTTGAACAAGCTAGATTTTGTAAGATCGAATGAAATATACGTGAGATTGTGGTTTTTTTGTACACCAAATAACACACTCAATGCTGAAAATGTCAAGCCAGTTTTCATTTTTATCAAAAATATCAGAAGTCGGTCTTTAGTGGAAACTGTACATTTTTTCATAGTTAATCTTGTTAATAAAAACTCAAAATTGCTAAATGACACACCAGAAGGATCTAGGAGTTCTTGATCATTTGTTATTGATGAAATACCAACAAATTCTTGACTTTTTGTTTCGGTAGATTGATCCTCATACGATTTTTTGTCAGTGCCACAGCTTTTATCTTTCTTTCTTGAATTATTTGTCATTAAAATTCTTGATGTTGGATTTCAGCATCACAGTGATCACTGTAAATTAATCTAATACAAATAAAAGTTGTATCTCTCAATTTCGATTCAGAAAACATATTGACTTGACATCCTTGATCGATCATAAAAGGTCGAGTTTGATTTAATTCACTCCCTTCTTCAATTATTATTTGACTTGATGTGGTATCTGAGACTTTTGTGGTTCTTCGTTTTGTCAAGCGTGTATATCTAGCTAGGACCTGTGAATCATTAACCTTCCTCTTTCGATATATTTCAGGGAATATCGTAGGAGCATAACTCGGATTTTCTTCCTCATCTGATTTTTTGTTTCCCATAAAATGTTCACTACAAATTGTGTCGTCAGGTTTGGGATACCATGGCGACCCATCAACACTAAAATAATAAAGACAATAATGAATATCACATAAAATATATAGCGCAAATAAAATTGATCATAATTTAAGGTTATTTCGCTTACTTATTTCTTTTTATGGCATCTATCCATTTATTTCTTTGATTTAATTTCCAGTCCAATGTAGGAAATATATACACAGACTATTTGTGCCCTTATTTTTGCAATTCACAATACAACAACATCTATTAATAGGCATTTTAAAAAATTTTTGTTTATTACGAACTCCGTGCAAATTGACTTTACTTTCCCGGATTGTTGCGTATTTCTGCCACGATAAGCGCTGCGATCGCTTCACTATACCCCCACCATGTACTTCGCACATAGCGAATAGTCGACGAATATCGATATAAACTATATCGATATTCATCGGCTATAAGTTGTTTAAAGCGGTATTTCGCTATATCCGGTGCTGTTATAGGCGGTTTGTTTACTTAAAGGTTTATATAGGGTTACGGCCGGGACCTTGCCAATTGGTCGTAATAACCGAAAAGTTGTTATAAACGATGTCGTTATATTCGGTTTTGACTGTATACTGTTGAAACTTGGTAAGTAGTGGTATTCTGTGATCCGTATTAAGATTTTCACACAAAAATAGAAAAAAAACAATAATTTTGGGGGTTCCCCATACTGAAACTCAAAAAAAAAAAACAATTTATCAAACCCATACGTGTGGGGTATCTATAGATAGGTCTTCGAAAATTACATTGAGGTTTCTAATTTTATAATTGATAAGACACACTTCCAAAGTGATAAAATGTGCCCCCCCCCCTCCTGTAACTTCTAAAATAATATAGAAAAAAAATGGGTGCGTGTACTTATGTAGGCGCGTGAGAAGTTATCCTTCTTTGGCATCGTTTAAAATTAGTTTTTAATTGCATGCAAATAATTAATTACAATAAATTATACTGAATATAATTTATTAGAACATATGTGATTTGCACTTGTATGAAACTCAAACACGTATTCCGAATATACAAACTAGAAACATGTGGATAAATATTATAAACTAGCGGCCCGCCCTCGCTTCGCTTCGGTGTAGAGCTGAAGTGTAGACTACAGTTTTTGTTCTCAGGCTTGTATTATACACAATGACATTCATCTATGATTCTTCTTATACCTGCATGCAAAGTCTCAGCCCGATCGGTTTAAAATTGATAAAGTTTCATACAAACTTTCATTCCTTATTTTATCCCCTTGGGATTTTCTTTATATTTTTTTCCGTAAGAACCTTGTACAGAGTATTAGAAAACTACAAAAAAAAAACAGCCACATCGGTCAAGCCGTTTTCATGTTATGTCGTGACAACGGAAAACGGGTTTCATTTTTATATATATAGATATGAAAACAGTCTCTGTTCTAAATTCAAAACTCGTAACTTTTCCTGATGTTTGTTGTACGTGTTTCCCGCGCTAGGACCGCGAGTGGCCGCGCATGCGTACGGCGCGGCGGGCGACGCGGTAATGGCAGCGCGGCACATGAAGTTGGTCGCTAAAGCGACCAACTTCATGGTGTTAATTTTTTGTGTTACAGATGCGCGCGCATCTTAAAATTTCACTCTCATAATTTTTTTATAACGCGCCTAAAGAAGTATAACTTCAAAAAGAGAAACTTTGATTGCGTTGGTTTAGAAGTTTGGTTTTTTCACAGCTCCAAGAGACAGTAGACCTGATTATTTGTTCTAAATTTCAGCTTGATACCTTCACGCGTTCCTGTGAAAAACGGCCTGCTCCTATAAAAAGAACCTTAATAATAAAAAATGGGTGCGTGTACTTATGTAGGCGCGTGAGAAGTTATCCTTCTTTGGCATCGTTTATAATTAGTTTTTAATTGCATGCAAATAATTAATTACAATAAATTAATAAAAAGTCTGGAAAAGGACACAGTCAATAAAGTTCAGTTTTAATTTGAAAAAATAAATAAATAATCAAAATAATTAATTAAAATCGCTACTGAATATAATTTATTAGAACATATGTGATTTGCACTTGTATGAAACTCAAACACGTATTCCGAATATACAAACTAGAAACATGTGGATAAATATTATGTTATGTGTAACTGTTACTTTATTACATAAAATAAAGATGTGGTTTTTGGTTCTACTACACCAATGGTCAAGAGATGGCACTGTAGTCTCCTGAATCGCGCTTTGGTTCCGTTCCAGATTAATAAATACTTTTGATAGGCCTTCACAATGCTCTATCGCTAAAGCGACCAACTTCATGCTGTTAAAATTTTGTGTTACAGTGATGCGCGCGCATCTTAAAATTTCACTCTCATAATTTTTTCATAACGCGCCTAAAGAAGTATAACTTCAAAAATATAATAAGATTTCTTTATGTTTTTAAAATATGAATTTATTCTCCGTAGCTATTAAACCGGACGCACGCGAGATATTACTGACTAAGGACCAACAAATGCAGCAGATGTTGGAAAGAGCGAAGTCCCTCAATTATCTGAATTCACCTTTCAAATGCGAACTGTGCTATAAAGGGTTTATCGACACCAGAGCCTATGAAAACCACAAGGAGAAACATGACGAGGTAATTGAATAACATACAAATACATCATGCGGGCACTCCACTTGGCTGTTTGTGTTTGCTATTTGTCAACTTGACATCAGTCTGTCCTTTTCATTCCATATAGAGCATGATAAGGATGGACTGTTGTAGTGTTGTTGAATATATTTATCAACCGTTAAAAAAGCTAATAAAAAATAACACATGTATTCGATAAATATTTTCAACCATATCGAATAAAAATATTCATTCGATTCATGTTAATTTTAACATGTATTTGTATAGATAAATGTAACATACGGATAAAATTATTTTAATGAATAATTTCAATGACAGACCGAACTAATAAATATATTTACAATAATATCAACTTAGGAAAAATATTCAGATATTGTATTTGAATGAAAATATTAACTGATATTTTCAACCATGGAAATTATCTGATATTTTTATGCAACTATAAACTTATAATAAAAATAAATAAAATAATGGCTTTTTTTCTCCATTAAACCAATTAAAGTTGAATTTATTTTTAATGGTTTTGAATTTACCGCCATAACGCTCGGTTCGATGACGTCTACTGTGTGACGTCAACTTTGTGTATGCTATGTAATCATGTGAAGGTCAAATTATTGACTCTTTTTACGTTCGGGATTTTATAGTATAATACTTACACAAAATATTTTAAAAGAAAAAAAATCATCAAATTATTAATCACAACAATAATTCCGTAATCACCGATCGTCCTCAGACTTCATAGGTGTTAAAATTCTTTACACAAAGTTGACGTCACACAGTAGTCAGTAGACATCATCGAACTGAGTGAGCGTTTTGGCGGTAAATTAAAACCATTAAAAATAAATTCAACTTTAATTGGTTTAACGGAGAAAAAAAAACCATTAAATAATTTATTTTTATTTTTCTGTTAAATCGATTGTCTGAATCTTTTAAAGCCGCGTATCCACTAGAGGCAGCCTCGGGTCGAGCGGCTGCCTCACTCCGAGGCTGCGCAAGTGGAGACGCTGCCTCAACCTGAGGCACGCCACGACGCGAGGCAAATTCGTCGCCGCGAGCCGAGCCATATTTTGTCGGTTTCTGTGCCGTGCTCAAAGGCGCCTCAGTCCGAGCCGTGTGTTTAATGGAGACGGTCGCTAAAATTTCGAAAGCTATCAACGTCATGTCCAATAGCAAGTGTTCACATCCATGTATAGTTCTATTGCGGTATAATTCTTCTATCCACCAGCGATGCTTCCTCTGTTGTATAGCTTTTTGTTGCCTCCTCTTTTTCTTAATAATGGTTATTGCTATTAAAGCAGCAGCTACTCGACGCGCGTCTGGTGCCATCGCGTTTTGGCTTTTAACTGCGCAGTGCGCCGCCAGCGGATCAAGCTGAGGCGACACGCCTCGAGCTGATCCGTAGCCGTTGCCTCAGAGCGAGCAGCCTCTAGTGGATACGCGGCTAAATATAAGCAGTTTTAAAAAAATTGGAATTTACCCTATTATCGCTGCCTCAGAGCGAGCAGCTTCAAACTGAGGCTATTTGCTTCAAGTCGAGGCCGCTCGACGCGAGGCTGCCTCTAGTGGATACGCGGCTAAATATAAGCAGTTTTAAAAAAATTGGAAATTACCCTATTATCGCTACCTCTAGACTGTTGTGAAGTTTACAAATACCAAACACCAATAGCCGAGTGACGCTGCCATTAAATATTTATATCGTTGGCCATGCCCTTATTTACAAAAATGACCACGCTAGAAATTTTATCCTTTTTGCATATTAACGTCAAAGTCAAAATATCTTTATTAAAATTCAAAATTCAATATTGTTTATTCAGTCTAGGCTGTTACAAGCACTTGTGAATGTCGAAAAGCTACGCCATCGGTTCGCAAATCTACGGCGGGAGACCTTGTACTGAGAAGAACCGGCAATAAACTCAGCAAGGGCTGTTTTTTTTCCCTGTTTTTTAAACAGAGTCGGCAAATTGAAAAATAACTTCAATATGAGGTATCTCATGAAGTCAATTTCCATTACAAATGAAAATAATATAAAAATTATGGATATAAAAAAAAAACTGATTTAACAAAGTTCAGGAATGCCGTGTCCTACTGTTTAGGCATCAAAATTTAATGCATAGTACAGCTTACGTGGAGTTCGACGATGGTGCAAGTGGTTAGCGCGTTCGGCAGCGATCGTTGAAGCTATGCAACTTTCGCAGTGGTCGGTCATTGGATGGGTGACTGAAAAATTTCTCTCACTCCTCCGTGCTTCGTAAGGCACGGCTCCGTCTGTCCTGGCTGCATCTGCAGTTGTTAGCATCCACCAATAGTACCTGCGTAGTGAGGCGTAGTGAGGTGAATGCCCCCACTGCTGGGGCACAGGCTTTCCCTATGGTTGGAATAAGGAGATTGGGCCGTGACCCACCACGCGGGCCCAGTGCGGATTGGTGAGTGCTAACGACTGCAGAGTAGTGAAAGTGCTATACCCAACTTCGGTGTATTAAAGCTTTTGGCTGTCCTCCAGCCTCAAACTGAAACCTCGTTAGTAATCTGTTAATCTGTTTGGTATACGAGAGGAGAAATCTCAGTGAATAATCTTAGATTAAAACAAAAATGGCAGATACGGCACTCGCGGCTCAAAAGTGATCTGATCCGCTTAAATTGTGCTGCATGACCACAATTCGTTTTAGTCACAATTGGACATTCAAACACGCTGCATGTGCACTCAATATAACAATATTGCGTATATTTAGTGTTATAAAGATAAAACAATGCCTTCGATGCTTTTATAAGGAACACAAATAGTTCAAAATCAGGTAACAAATTCCTCGTCATCACTTCTCATTCGTAAAACTGTAAAATCGTTTTTTTTTTCACCAATTCACGGTTTGTCGTTAATGTTATTTACGTAATCGCCATTTTGTTATCAAGAAAAGGACAACAATACAGCTCAGCAGTTTGCACTCGGAAGCTGATTCGCCGTTTCGCTCGCTCTGCGTTGAAGCGTACAGTTCTGTGTCGCTCGCTCGATTGAATGTTTACATACAGACGTGTGCGTGTGTGAGAGTTGCTTATGTAGTTGAGTCGGATCATATTTTATTTGATGCTAGTATGAGCGTACCGTATCTTCCCTTTTTGTTTTAATCTAAGTGTAAATAATCTTCTATTCCTGCTACAACCGCTCATTGCGACTGTGAATGTTAAGCAACTTTTGCAATGGCCATTGGCCAGACATTGGATTGAAATATTAAGCCGTCGGTTCTGGCTGCATCTGCAGTCGTTAGCACCATTTTTTATGTGTCTGTAAAATGCCTTACGCAATCTTCAACCACTGGGGAAGCGAGAAGAAGGTATGTGGGACTCCTCCCTGTCCCCTTCAGCCAGCCCTGGAGCTCGCTGATGTGAACAGGGCCCTACCTACGCTCTGAACAGGGCCACTAAAAACCAGACAATACTCCTGCACCGGCACCCGACACGCACTATGAGGACCGCGGTCCCCCTAGTGCATGCCGAGAGGGCGGGTGTGGTCGCGGGTCACCCGCCACGCACTATGAGGACCGCGGTCCCCCTAGTGCATGCCGAGAGGGCGGGTGTGGTCGCGGGTCACCCGCCACGCACTATGAGGACCGCGGTCCCCCGAGTGCGAGCCGAGAGGGCGGGTGTGGTCGCGGGTCACCCGACACGCACTATGAGGACCGCGGTCCCCCGAGTGCGAGCCGAGAGGGCGGGTGTGGTCGCGGGTCACCCGACACGCACTATGAGGACCGCGGTCCCCCGAGTGCGAGCCGAGAGGGCGGGTGTGGTCGCGGGTCACCCGACACTCACTATGAGGACCGCGGTCCCCCGAGTGCGAGCCGAGAGGGCGGGTGTGGTCGCGGGTCACCCGACACGCACTATGAGGACCGCGGTCCCCCGAGTGCGAGCCGAGAGGGCGGGTGTGGTCGCGGGTCACCCGACACGCACTATGAGGACCGCGGTCCCCCGAGTGCGAGCCGAGAGGGCGGGTGTGGTCGCGGGTCACCCGACACTCACTATGAGGACCGCGGTCCCCCGAGTGCGAGCCGAGAGGGCGGGTGTGGTCGCGGGTCACCCGACACGCACTATGAGGACCGCGGTCCCCCGAGTGCGAGCCGAGAGGGCGGGTGTGGTCGCGGGTCACCCGACACGCACTATGAGGACCGCGGTCCCCCGAGTGCGAGCCGAGAGGGCGGGTGTGGTCGCGGGTCACCCGACACGCACTATGAGGACCGCGGTCCCCCGAGTGCGAGCCGAGAGGGCGGGTGTGGTCGCGGGTCACCCGACACGCACTATGAGGACCGCGGTCCCCCGAGTGCGAGCCGAGAGGGCGGGTGTGGTCGCGGGTCACCCAACACGCACTATGAGGACCGCGGTCCCCCTAGTGCATGCCGAGAGGGCGGGTGTGGTCGCGGGTCACCCAACACGCACTATGAGGACCGCGGTCCTCATAGTGCATGCCGAGAGGGCGGGTGTGGTCGCGGGTCACCCAACACGCACTATGAGGACCGCGGTCCCCCTAGTGCATGCCGAGAGGGCGGGTGTGGTCGCGGGTCACCCAACACGCACTATGAGGACCGCGGTCCTCATAGTGCATGCCGAGAGGGCGGGTGTGGTCGCGGAACCCGTCTCCGAATGACCGCACACCCACCAGGTGTTTGTCCGCGGACGGACCCACCGCGATGAAGATGCCCCGGAGCATCAGGGGCATCAGCATCCAGAGAGCTTGTGCAATGCGAGCCTATCCCCCCCCAGGACAGACTCGCGGCTCTCGCAGGAGTGAGAGCCTACCCATATATCCCACTATAGTAGGTCGCCGCCCGGTCACATTATATATTCCATCCATAGGACAGGGCTATGCCCCAGCAGTGGGGACATAAATAGACTGATGAAGACAATGTTTTTTTTCTGACAGCGCAGTGGATCGTTCGAGTGCAATATATGCCATATGCGTTATCTGACAGCCAGACATCTCCGTACGCACATATCGACTTCACATGAAAGACATTATGTTTGCAACAAGTGCGAACACAGATCTCATACTGCGTGAGTCACTTTTATAATTATATTTTACATGTTTTTCTAGTATTTTGTAGCGATAAAGAATATATAACAATAAGGATTATCATTTATGATTTTATTTACTTTTAAGCATTTAACTGCTAGATGTTTAAATCTAAAGAAAAGTTTACTAGAAAAAAATCCACGCGGAACAGGCAGCGGACGGGACTCGATGCTACCACGGCCCTATTAGCCGCGTCGAAATTTTCCTAGCGTTAAGCTGCAAGGCAGGATTTTTTTCTAGTAAACTTTTCTTTAGGATTATCATTAATAATAAGGAGGTAGGACAGGAGCTCGATGGCGCAAGTGGTTAGCGCGTTCGGCTGCGATCGTTGTAGTTAAGTAACTTTCGCAGTGGTCGGTCATTTCCAGCGGATTTCCTGCTCGAATTGGAGCGCCCGTCTGGCGTTGGGAGGGGTAGTGAGGTCTGGGGAAGTTATCTTCACCTTACAACAGTCATCTCCTCCTTACAGAAGCGACCGTAAAATAACTCTACCTGTTGGTGGTGTTGTGTTTCAAATCAAATCAAATCAAAATCGTTTATTCAGCACGGTACACTAATACAGACAAATTTTTAAACTTCCATCCATCAGCCTTTCTCCGTCCCCTGCTGGACATAGGCCTCCCCCATAGAACGCCACAACACGCGGTCCTGCGCTATCCGCATCCAGCGGCTCCCAGCCCATTTGACGATGTCGTCAGTCCACCTTGTTGGAAGCCGCCCCACGCTGCGTCGTCCGGTAAGCGGTCGCCACTCGAGGACCTTTCTTACCCAACGGTTGTCAGATCCTCGAGCGATGTGGCCTGCCCATTGCCACTTCAGCGTGCTAACTCTTCGGGCTATGTCGTGCACACCGGTCCTTCTACGGATCTCCGTATTTCGGATCTTATCACGTAGGGAAACACCGAGCATAGCCCTCTCCATAGCACGCTGCGCGACTCTGAGTTTTGTTATGAGGCCGACATTCAGAGACCACGTCTCAGTCCCATAAGTCATTACTGGTAACACACACTAAACACTAGCGGTGGGTCGTTCTCAAATTTTCTGACTACGAAACGCAACCGTTTTTTCTTAAACGAAAACTAGTCCTCGAAACGGTTCTCGTTCGCAACTGGTTTTGGTTGCGGCCGGGTGACGCAACGAAACGACACGCGACGGTCGAACGAATGTAACGCAACGAAACTGAACTAAATGAAATTTTGTTAACGTTCGTTTCGTTGCTGCGAACGAGACGACGAAACATCGAAATAAATGTTGTGTTATACGATAATCGACTTTAAATGTTCAATAATAAAGATTGTATTATTGTAAAATCAAATCCATTCGTGATACGGAACCCTAAAAAGACAGTTTTGACATACAAATTTTGTTTGGCGCCATTCATTTATTAAGTAGGACAACTTTTGGCAATGCAAGCATTTTGCCTGAATATATGTAGAACTAGCTAATATGGCTAAATCTTTAATCCGTGTACGTGTTATAACAGCAATGTTTTTTTTAATAACTATTTTTTTTTCCAACACTCCAATTAGCCTAGCCCCAAAGTAAGCACTATAAGGCTTGTGTTACGTGATACTAGGGTAACGGATAGATTACATATACTATACATATATGAGTATATTTATTTAGAAATACATATTAAACATCCATGACTGGACTACAAATGCACGTATTCATCACACAAACATCTGCCCCCACCGGGATTCGAACCCGGGACCTATCGAGTCGGCGACACCATGATACCCGGCGTACAAATCACTCGGCCACGGAGGTCGTCAATCGTCAATTATATTAAGTAAATGTAATTATTTATCCCACCGTTTAGGGGTCGTCCATTTAATCACGTGTTGTTTTTTTTTGCCTTTTTTTTTGTAATTTTTATTTTGGGGTCATAATAATTGAAGTACGGTTTCAAAACTTATTATGGGAGTTTTTAGACCAAAATTAATGATCTGTAAAAAAAAAGGTAATAAAAATCACTTCGTACGCGTGGAGTTAGTAAGAAATAAAGGTTCACTACTCGTTCGCCGTAGGTGATAGCGTGATAATATGTAGCCTATAAAATATGTTGACCCGACTTCTTAATAATATTCTTGCCAAATTTGAAGTAAATTCATGCAGTACTTTTTGAGTTTATCCCGGACATACATGAAGACAAACAGACATAAATTCTAAAAACTATATTTTTGGCTTCTGTATCGATTGTAGATCACACCCCAAGTATTCCTTTAACAAAAATATTCAATGTACAGTTTTGACTTTCCTACCATTTTATTATATATATATATATATATAGATAGGAAGTATACAGTAACTGATATTTTCTCCTTTTTCAACAGCAATCAAGCGAGGGAACACGAGAAATGGCACAACGGTTATACATACGAATGTCAGCTGTGCAGTCAAAAGTTTAGGTAAATAAACAATGAATAAGTTTTTTTTACACAACGGTCAGCCTAGCCCCAAGCACCATAAAACTTGTGTTATGGGATACTAGGTTAACAAATAGAATACATAAATAAATAATGCAATTTTATTTTATGTTTTTTTATATACAGGGTGATCCAACTAGTGACGTCAACAAATTATTTTTAGTTTCCTCGCACCTGGTATCCGAAAATATCCCATGTATGTTCCGCGATTTTTCTGAGTTCTCGAGTTATAATTTTTTTGTGTATTTTTAATGATTTCTGCCAGCGCGGTTTCAAAAATTCTTATCTTTTTTCGTAGTAGGTATTTTGCAGTCTTTTTTTTATGACATAAATGTCTTGAATTAATAAAAAAATAACTCAACTTCCTGCAATTACTTAAAGTTACTCAAAAAAAGGCTTGAAAGTTGGATCTTTAGTTTTTAAAAATATACAAATACATATTATACTAATGTACATCTCTTAGAGAAAAATTTAAAGAAATCGGGATTTTGACTGTTGCTTCTCAATTCATTTATAATTGCATACTTTTTGTTCGAAGCAATATTAACTATTATCTAAAACACAGTGACATACATTCTTTTAATACAAGGAATAAAAATAAACTCAAGATACCAAATTACAGGTTACAGAAGGTTCATAAATCATTTATGGGTCAAGGTATACATTTCTATAATAAGATTCCTATTGATATCCTTGATTTGCCTCCTCATAAATTTAAAATACACATTAAGAATTGTTTACTTAAGAAAGGATATTATACTGTCAATCAATATTTGAATGATAAAACGGCCTGGTTGTAATTTTACCTGTAGATAATTTTTCAAAAGTTGTATTAAAACTAAGGCTCCCAGCCTTAGAAAGAGTTTTGAAGAGAACCTTGCACTTACTCCCTTTCATATACTTGTTCATTTTGTTTTGAAAATTGTTTCTTGCTATTTGGGACTTATCTTTGCACTTATTGTTAGTAAATTCATTGATTGTTACATATTTGACATTATGTGATGGAAGTTGACCTCAACACATGTTTGCAAGTTTGATGTCAACTTTCAATTGGACGACACTGTATGAAATAAAACAGGGAGAAAAAAGCAGCCCTTGCTGAGTTTCTTGCCGGTTCTTCTCAGTACAAGGTCTCCCGCCGTAGTTTTGCGAACCGATGGCGTAGCTTTTCGACATTCACAAGTGCTTGTAACAGCCTAGACTGAATAAACGATATTGAATTTTGTACAAATGCTTGTATACATCATATAAACTTTTGCCTCATCGGGATCACTCTTCTAGAGGTTACCAATATGGTATGGTACCTTTATGTTGAGTCGTGTTTCTGTCGGTAAGTAAGGTTCCGGGGCTCCACGGGGTAGGGGATTGGGTCAGGGCTAGGGTTACCATCCGGCCGGATTTGTCCGGACATGTCCGGACTTTTTGCTCTGTGTCCGGCTTTTTAATTTGCCCGGATTTTTTTAATTAGATGGAATGTGAGTAAAACTACTTATTAAGTTATATCAAATAAGTCAAATAAACCTTATTAAGTTCTCATTAATTTAAAACAAAATGTAAATCATCTTTAAAAATCAACAACGAGACCCCCCCGCGTTGCTACCACGCGTATAATATCACTGTAACTAAAAGTGGGTGATGTTTGCATTTTGTGACTAAAATGTCCGGACTTTATCGGAATGTCCGGCTTTTTGTCAGGACTTTTCAATTTTTTAAATAGTAACCCTAGTCAGGGCAGACAAACGTGATATCTTTGTTATCGCAAGCGTTTATAAGCTATGGTGGCCGCTTACCTTTAGGTGGGTTGATTGATGATTCTCTAAACCTAAACTTAAATTTGACAACAGTGTTTCCTTGTCATTCTCTATACAGACTGAAAAGGAGCGAATGATGTTAAATTTAGTTTTAAGTTTAGAGAATTACCCCAGAAACGACACCAATGCCGTCTTTGACCTATTGGAGGCCCTGGGCATATTAGGATAATGGGGCCGCTATGACTTCCATTTGGTGATTTAACAGGAACTAGGGACTTTGTATTTGATCTGAGGGGGCCCCCTATCGATCGCGGGGCCCTGGGCACTTGCCCAAAGTACCCACTGGGAAAGACGGGTCTGAAGGCAGACGAAGTAAACGTTGGGAAGACGACATGAAAAAGACGGTAGGTCCAGAATGGATACGTCTAGCAAGAAACCGATTAAAATGGAAAGCTTTAGAGGAGGCCTTAGTCGAAGGACAAGTTGTAGCAGACAAAGACTCGAGTGATACTTTGATATCGCAAGCGTCTATGAGCTATGGTGGTCGCTTACCTTTAGGTGGGTTATACGTAGGGTTGCCACCCTTACTATATAATAATTATAGTATCCTACTATATCATATAGTGTCAATGAGTTTTGAATGATAAATCCTTGCATTAATTGGATTGATTAATATTTTTTTAGAATATTGAATGACTATTAATTTATTAATTCATTATTTCCTGTTTTATTATTGTTATTTGTATTTGACATTTTAACTTTATTTAAGTATAAATATTGTATTTTAATTGTTTTGACTCGGCAATGTATTCTTATATAATTTGAAATTGCCATGAGAATTTAATTTTGACATTTTGATTTAATTGAATGTTTAGTTAGTACTTTATGTAATACTGTTCGAAAATTTATTTTATACGTGTAATTTATTACGAAATAAATCATTATGATTATTAAGTTTGTCTATGGGACTATATTTCTAAAAAAAATAGTAGGCGAAGCTACTATATTTTGCTTAAAGCATATTTTTGACAGTAAAAGCTTTCTTAAAAATTATTATTATATTATTAGTAAGGCAAAGAGCAGCAAAAATATATTTATTTCAAAAATTAAGTAACTATTTTAATCACATACTACATATATTTTTATCCATTTTTTGCCAGCTACTATATTTGTAGAGGAAAAGCTTCGAAAATACTATTTTTGATAGAAAAAAAGGCCCTTGCTATACGTTTGTTTCCACCGTTTTAACATAAAATAATACTGTAACAACGATTTGTTGTAGGAAACCAACTTCATATCTAACTCATATGCGGAAACGTCACCCCAGTTCTCATGTATGCGGTCTCTGTGGGGACAGTTTTGTGGGAAAACATGGACTACGCATGCATTACACTAAGGCACATAGGAAAGAACAGGTATTTATACTCGCGAGAACAAGTATTCGTATTTTAGGTACCAGGAATTTATTTTTAAGACGCTAGTACAATACTGAAGGAACCGGTATTCGTATTTCAGACAACAGGTATTTATATTCAAAGAAAATGTATACATACTCCAGTTAGTATCGTTCATTATGCATTAAACCAAATCAGGAGATTATTTTAAATTATTCAGTAGACTTATTATTTGTTCAAAGTAGGTCTCCTTTACAGGCTATTCGTGTTTGTTATTTGTATACTTGACAACAGTATTTCCCTCTCATTCCATATACACTTAGATTAAAACAAAAAGATGTGGCACTCGCGGCTCAAAAGTGATCTGCTTAAATTTTGGTGCATGACCACAATTCGCTTTAGTCACAATTGGACATTCAAACACGCTGCATGTGCACTCAATATAACAATATTGCGTATATTCTGTGTTAATACAAGATTAACACAGATTACAATTCTGTGTTAAGACAAGATAAAGCAATGCCTTCGATGCTTTGGTAAAGAACACAAATAGTTAGAGATCAAATAACAAATGCCAAGGCAACACATTTCATTCGTAAAACTACACAAATATTCTTTTCTCTAAAATCACGGTTTGCCGTGAATGTTATTTACGTAATCGCCATTTGTTATCAAGAAAAGGACAACAATACAGCTCAGCCGTTCGCACTCGGAAGCTGATTCGCCGTTTCGCTCGCGCTGCCTTGAAGCGTACAGTTCTGTCTCGCTCGCTCGATTGAATGTTTACATACAGACGTGTGCGTGTGTGAGAGTTGCTTCTGTAGTTGAGTCGGAGCATATTTTATTTGATGCTAGTATGAGCGTACCGTATCTTCTCTTTTTGTTTTAATCTAAGCATATACAATATATCCTGCCTGTTTGTTATTTATATGTCATTTTGACCTGCTGTCAACACGAATAACCATATGAAGTGCTGGCATCTTGAATATGTTATTTTAAGAATTCAAGAATGAAACTTCTGCATACAGAACGAGCTTACCACCAACGATTTAAGATAGCCTAGATACACCACGTGCGCTAAAATTGTGTCCCAATTAAGAAGTGCTTGAACGCCACTCAAGCACTTTTTGGTTCACAGTCACGCGCGTACCGATGAAAAGTCAAGATGACCCAGAGCTCTGTAAAAAATGCAAAAAAAAACTTGAAAAAAAAAATTATCAATGGTGTCGATTCTGGGATGATTCTTCAAATCTAAATTTAATTTTGACAACAGTGTATCCTTGTCCAGATTTATTAAGAATGATAAAGTCTATACAAACTGGTTGGAGTCCCGTCTGCTGTCTGGTCCGCGTGGATTTTTTCTTTGTGACAGGTTTCGGCCACAATTTTGTTCCTGTTGTTGAATGTAGGGTATTACATATAGTTGTGTAAGACCCTCTAGATACAAGGGTGGCCGACTTGATTAGACCCAAAATCTACTGTATACTGAAATCCAGTCCGATCTACCAATTGCATACTGCTTGAAATATTAAATGAAACAGCACAGTTCAGTACACAATTATGTTGCATTTTGTTATTTTATTAAAAGGGCAAACATAAAAATGAATTCCTTCCTTCATCATCATTAGCCTATTAATGTCCCCAATGCTGGGGCATGTAACGTACCTCAGGAATCGTCCCATGGTTTCGACTATCATAGGTTCCATGTCACACATTTTATCATCTAATATCATCGATATACTTCAGGCATAAACATATTTTATTATGTATTTCTGGAAACAACAATTTCAAAAATATCACACACTATTCATCATTTTGTAAATACGTATAATAATTCCATCTGTACTAAAAATCACTATTCCAGAGTGCTGGACACTTACCGGCATTTCTCTTTATTCTGTTATTTATTTATTATCATTACTTTTTCTCCGATTTTATCTATTTTTAGTTTATTTATTTTCTTGACATTAGTGACAACTTAATGTTTTTTATCCGTTGCCATGGCTACCCATGACACGGATACTCTCTCCAACTACGTCTATGCCTATTCAACCTCCACAGACCACCTACTTTGATTCTTTTTAGTTTTTTTAGCCGCGACCAACGGCAATTAGCCTTAGTAACTACTTATTTATATCACTGTGAGCATTGTGTTTGTACATTTTCCGGTAGATTAGCAACATCAGTTTTAATGTTGATAATTGCCAACCTGAAAGAATCCAACGTATGAGCGTCTGTCAAACAAGAAAGGTGTTTATTTTTGGTTTGTAGTAGGAAAATGCCGTCTCATATAAATATGTTGAACCACAACACAAATGCAGTTGTTCAACACATCTTTTATTTAGGTATTTCTCGTTTTCTAACGAGCCCAGAAATCTAGACCTGAGGATGACTTTGCTTTTAGAAATATGTCCCAGCGCAGTCCTTATTACATGTGGTCCATTTGAAATGTATCTGCAAATTTTGTTGCCATTTCATATATTTTCTGATATATAAAATTCTCGTGTCACGGAGTGCGTATTTAAATAAATAAAACTAGCAAACCCGGCGAACTCCGTTTCGCCACCAGATGGCTTCGTTGTATGTAACATTCCGTTTGGTGATTAAAAGAAGATTTTTTTTTAATTTTTCCTGAATTTTCTTTGCTATAAACCTTACGGAGCCCGAGACCTTTCCAACGAAAGCAAAACCATGGAAATCGGTACGTGCGTTCTGGAGTTATAGCGTCAGGAAGGAAAACCCGACTTATTTTTATAAATAAAATAAATAAATATTTCCAACACTCACGCCTAGCCCCAAAGTAAGCACTATAAGGCTTATGTTATGGGATACTAGGGAAACGGATAGAATACATAAACTGTACTTATATAAGTATATTTATATAGATATACATATTAAACATCCATGACTGGAGTACAAATGCTCGTGTTCATCACACAAACATCTGCCTCCACCGGGTTTCGAACCCGGGACCACTCGAGTCGGCGACACCATGAAACCCGGCGTACAAACCACTCGGCCACGGAGGTCGTCAATTGAACCACTCCGAAACGGCTCGACCGATTTTCGTGAAATTTTATATGCATATTCAGTAGGTCTGAGAATCGGACAACATCTATTTTATATCTCCCTAACTGTTAAGGGTGGTCCACCTGTATTTTTTTTTATTGGACATAGTTTTTTTTTTAATTTTTTTAAGATACAATACAAAAATACATATAACCCTAAATTTTCACCCTTCTACCACCTACCCCTATTTTTTTATGGCGATACGAAGTTCTATGGGACAGCTAGTAATTAATATATTATTCCTGTCTGTTATTGTCGCTATATATTTTGTATGTTTTCCCCTAATATATTATATATTTATCTCCTTACTTTGGGTCCCTTTATTTCCCCATTCCGCCTTTAATATAAATTTTCCATTTACAGAGCACCGATGTGGATTTTTCATCGAAGAAGTTTTGTGCCGAATGTAACGTTCAATTTGCGTCTATTGAAGCTTACAGCAAACATGTGCTCAATTCTATCAAACACACCTTAGCGAGCGAATCCGGGTAAGAAACAATCATCATCATCAGCCTATTAAAGTGCCCACTGCTGGGGCACAGGCCTTCTCTATGGATCTAGGGAGATTGGCCCGTGACTAGGGTTACCGTTCTGGATTAGTCTGGATATATCCCGAATTTGTTCGGATCTTTATTTTGTTCGGATTTTTGAAGTGCAAACTTCTTTAGCGGCGTTATACACTTTTTTTTGTATGGGTAAAAAATGATAAACTCGCGTTAGGTTAGGCTTAGACGTGGGCTGATCGCATCATGACACACAATAAAATTGGAAAGGTTGTTGACTTTCAATATATTGGTGGAAACATAGTAATATTTTATTTTACCGTATTATAATAATAAGTCTCTATGTAGGACGTCCACGTGGCACCTTTAAAGCGAAGAAAATGCATTTTTTTACAATAGATGTCGCTAGGTGCGCTTAAATGTGATTCATGTAAGTTGATTTCTTTACAATAGATGTCGCTAAGTGCGCTTAAACGTGATTCATTTAAGTTGATTTTACTGAGAGATAAACTTTTTTAATGTAATATAAATTGTCATGTTTGTGTACGATAGCGCAATAAATAAATATTGTTTTCTACCACATACATGATAGTACTTTTTTAATTTTACTTTAAAGCAATTCGTGCAAAATTATTCCCTAACCATTTCAAAATATCTAAAATGCACAATGTTAATATTCAAGTTTTCACTTCTGCCGGCACTCCCAGAGTGCAACCCGTCTTTTTTTTTTAATTTAAATTATATCTATACAGAAACTTTAATCATATTCATTCACTTCATCAAAATAAATCATGCAATACTAAGTAAATAGCTAATTTACATTATTCGATTGTCAAATTTGTCATTGAAAAATATTTTACAGAATATTTTTTTTCTTGAGCTATGTCATTAGTATTGATTTACATAATTTACTGGGTTTTAATTCATTAGTTATTGCATTATATACTTTTACACACATACAATTACATTGTTTAGCGCTCCAATTCAAGCGGAAAATCCGCTTTGGCATACCTTTCTTAAATGCTCTCTCTTTTATAACAGGTCGGTTTGTCTGATATGCGATATGGAAGTGCCCCCGGGAACTTTGAAAGCACATCTCCGAGTACACGAAAATGCTTTGAAGACGCCAAAGAATCCTTCGAAGAAACTGGCTTTAGTGCCTCTGCCGTGTGAACAGGTAATCATATTTCTATTTCTAGAAAAAGTCTCACTCGATTAATGCTACATTCCGTGCACACATACAGACAGACAGACACGAACCACGTGATAGATTCCTAATGTGTACGATTGTAAACACAAAAAATACAAACCGAATTGGAAACCTCGCTGATAAATATAGTATGGCGGCGATATAACCAACATGGGGAAAGTAATCACTCGCCTCCTCAAGAGATGGCGCTACCGGCGCTTCATTTAAAAGGTATGGCATCCTACATCGCGCAAGTGAAATTCGGAGGCTAAAATTCGTTTTCCACCGCCAAAGAGGAATGAACTAGGGATGTCTAGCGGGCCGCCTTTTTCACCGAAAAAGAGTTCCGAATAGCTCACTTTTACTATTCTTGCTCTCTGTCATTTTCGCTCGACTCTTTGTTGGTGGAAACAGATATGAGGAGCTGGCGAACAAAACGGTTTAATTACGCATATCGTTTTGACCATATACTACTTTTTTTTTACAGCCCGGAGGTTTTGGGCCAGCTGAATTTGAATGTCAACTCATGTCAATCAATCAATACCGGCTAAAATAGTGTTAAAATTACTTAATTAAAAATCACGCCAAAAACTCACTGTAGGAATGTCATTCAGTTTTTTACTGCTCCTGTAAACAGGGCTTGTTTACCGGTTAATTTTCAAACCTAAATCAGTGTCAAGTACATTAGGAGCGTTTTACTTAGGTTTGGCTCAACCTTAACCTTAAAAAACCGGTTTTCCTAAAGAGCGAAATCAAATAGGTTTTCAATCAATTTAGCGGTTTTTAAAAGGTTTCATTTCGCTCTTTATGACGGCATCGATAATAAATGAATAATTTGACTCACTAGACGCTAGCAAACGTGTCAATAAATGCATCAATCTCAAGCATTAACAAGTTGTGACTTGATTAGTTTAAAACAAAACAAACTTTAGCGATGCCGACGCGTGCACGTGTCGCTCTGGATTAAACCGGTTTATTAAGGTTTTAGGTACCGCTTTCATTTCGGACGCGCTCCGAACGAAACCTTTACTAAAAACCGGTATTAACATTTATTTACCGGTATTTTCGAAACCGGTTTCAAGCCCTGTCTGTAAAATTTAATTTTAAGTAAATATACCGTTTTGTTCGCCAGCTACTCTTTTTTGTATTGCGAGGTAAACGGAGGCATTATGTAATGGCCGACTAACATTAAAGAGAGGTAGGGCATAGCGAATTTTCATACATACATACTATGTAACTTTTTGAAGTGAAACTTCTTTATCGGCGTTGGAAAAAAAATTACCGTCACATTTTTATTCGGTTACGCGTCACGTTTTTTGGTTACGCGCCATCTTTTTTTTAAAAGAGCACTATTTACCTCATCCGAACAATTGCTTCTTCTGTCAACTTTAAAAAAAAAAAGTATCGACAGCAAATATTCGTGTTTCACACAAGGTTAGGTAAGGTAAGGTGTAGTTATACCCCTTTAGTGGGTGAGTTTTTGAAAAATCTTAGCGCACGCCTATATATATTTCTGGAAAGTTGCATGTAGATCATTTTTCGAAAAAAATAAGGCCATAAAGAAGTTTCACTTCTTACGTGTGTACACTAGTACACGCACACATTTTTTATTAATAGGAGGATAGTTAGAAAATATAAATTTTTGAATATGTTTTTATTTTTATGGTGCTACTTCTCATGTTTTTTTTTTGTAAAAAAACCTTTGAAGTGGCGTTTAAGCGATTTTGCGTTTCCACCGTCGATTTATCTCTTATCTATTAGACAAGTCCGTCCGTCTGTCTGTGGTGCTGTTTCAGCGGCCAAACCGTAAGAGATAGATAAAGAGAATATTTAAGTTATAAGTTAAGAATAGTCTGATAAGACTACAAACCGGATTTGAGTAACGTAGCACTTCCGGTTTTCGAGAAATCAGGTTTTGGTGAACATTTGGTTCACTGGTTTGCTAGTTATAATATATTTATATTCGTTACCCTAGTATCCCATAACAGAAGCCTTACAGTGCTTACTTTGGGGCTAGGCTATTTGGTGTGTAATAAGAATTTATTTGACGACCTCCGTGGCCGAGTGGTTTATACGCCGACTTTCATGGTGTCGCGGATTCGAGAGGTCCCGGGTTTGAATCCCAGTGGGGGCAGATGTTAGTGTGATGAATACGAGCATTTGTACTCCAGTCATGGATGTTTTATATGTATTTCTATACAAATGTGCTTATATATGTACTTGTACAGTATATGTATTCTATCCGTTACCCTAGCATCCCATAACACAAGCCTTACAGTGCTTACTTTGGTGCTAGGCTAATTAGTTTGAGTGTTGGAAATATTTATTATTATTATTTATTTATACTTCTAAGAAATGAATGTCAGATTTAAAGTAAGCAACAACATATTAATTAAGTAAAAGGTTCATATAATCAACAGAAAAAGAACAGGCCAAGTGCGAATCGGACTCGCTTATTAGACACTACTAGCAAACCAGCGAACCAAATGTTCACCAAAACCTGATTTCTCGAAAACCGGAAGTGCTACGTTACTCAAATCCGGTTTGTAGTCTTATCAGACTATTCTTAACTTATAACTTAAATATTCTCTTTATCTATCTCTTACGGTTTGGCCGCTGAAACAGCACCACAGACAGACGGACGGACTTGTCTAATAGATAAGAGATACTATAATATAAAACCGCGGCGTTTTCTAAATTTGCTGTTTAAATGTTAAATTAAATTTAATGAATATTATAATGATTCGACAATAGAAAAGCAAAATCTCTTAATAGCTTAAACGAAACGAGGATCAAAGGTTTTTTTTTTACAAAAAACACATGAGAAGTAGCGCCATAAAAATGAAAACATATTCAAAAATTTATATTTTCTAAATATCCTCCTATTTGTTTTTTGTTTATTTCAGTGTGGTGCCAATTTCGTGACCAGATCCAAACTACAGGCTCATGTAAACAGAGTGCATTTAGGACTTAAATATAATAAGAACATAGTATGTGAGGTCTGCGGGAAGAAATGTACGGTATGTTTAAACTAAGGGAAGATCATTCCAGCAGACGGGTATCGGACCCGCACCCTTCGCTATCCGGGAGGATGCACTGACCATTATGATACCGCGGCCGTAATGGTCGTGTCTAATTTTTTCTAGTATTTCTTTGGCTGCAAGGCAGCTCCGATTGTAGGTTATCTACACTCGACGGCAAATAAACTGGGCCAACCGCTAATACCTTGGAACTCTAATTCGATTTTTACAAAAAGTATTAAACTTACAACTATTAAAGCAATATCGACAGAAAGTGCGTTTCATAATCCTCGCTCGATCGCCACTTATTGCTAAGCGCGCGCAGAGATTTTCTCATATCGACCGTTACACATATAAGTGTTCTGTTTTTTTTTTTTTTTGCAAGAAATAGTGCAATTAAATGTTTTTAATAAGTAATATTCTAAAATGACGACCCAATGTAAACTGATAATAAATGAACTACTTTGTTTTATACAATGCAAATCGGTGGTTTTGGACGAGCAGAGCATCATACAAATATGTGAGTCTGGATTTACTGATAAAGAAGTGGATGAAGCAAGAGAAGTGCTAACGAAACTCTCCCTTTTACGTACCTCAAGAAAGGCCGAAGGAAAAAAGAAACGTACCCTACAAGACATCATCAGTATCGTCAAGGAAACAGCGCCCGATCAGCTACCTACGTTCGTTGCAAAAGACTTGCATCGGCTGCCGCCAGTCACCTTTGACTATATAGACGTATCTACGCTACTGAAAGAAATTTTAAGCTTGAAGCAAGACGTACACAATATACAGTGTGATTATATCCGAAACAGAGATATTTCAGACGTTCGTGAGCTGTTAAAGAACCTTCAAGATAAGACGAAAGTGTCAAACGACAGTGAGACAGACAAAAATAGGGAGAGAAATACCCCTGAAAAAAGAAAGGAATATCAGAATAAGCACATTACGAAAAGCAAGGGCACGGAGTTGGAAGTAACAAAAACGAAGGTAGGCGCGAAAAAACCTGTCAACGGACAAATAACGGCAAAAGTACAACGAGCGCAACATCAACATCAACACTTGTATCGTGATATTTCTGTTACTACAGTGGTAGACCCTATACACGGACCACCACGCACGCCGCGCGCTCACAACAAGACATTGCGTGCTACAAGTAGCCCAGAATCTCAATCGCAACAACAGACTTTGAACGACACAATCATTGACGATAGCTTTACGACAGTTGTACACAAGAAAACCAGACATAACAACGCTAGGAAAAATCAAAACAAAGTAGGAAAAGCAACATTGACTACTGGTAAAATACAAGTGGTGCCTAGATTATCATACATATACGTATCTAGATTCCTACCTGAAAATACGGAAGAGGATATTAAAGAATTTCTCCAGGAAAGTGGAAAAGTTCCCGTAAAAATTGAAAAACTTGCACAGTACAAAAGTACCGACTTTTCTTCTTTTAAATTGACCGTTATTCAGGCACAGGAAGAGTCATTTTTGAGTGAAGAGTTGTGGCCGTCTGGGATAGTGTACAGGCGATTTAAAGTGAAACGACAGGTGATGACAGACAATCACACTACCAGATCGAAATAATTATATATATGAATTGACATTAATAACTAAATAATAATGATATCGAAGTTTGTCTCGTTCAACTGCAGGGGTATAAAGCGTACATATTTACACGTTAGAGATCTATGTAAAAACTGCGATATAATAGCATTGCAAGAACACTGGTTGATACCAGAAGAAATAGACTTCTTAAACAACATTCACCCGGATTTTGCATATCATGGAACATCGGCGGTGGATACGACAGCGGACATTTTGAGAGGGCGGCCCTATGGAGGGGTAGCCCTTCTGTGGAAAAAATCTTTGTTTACATGTGTGACGCCAATTGAAACCGGATCGTCGAGAGTAGTCGCCGTGCGCGTGAGCATCAGAGAAGCAGCACAGGAGCAGCGTAGTTTCATCGTCATGTCGGTATATATGCCGACACAGCATCCGGACAACATCCCACTATTTACAGAGTGTCTAGCGATTATAAGTGCAGTAATCGAAAATAACTGTGATGAAAATGTTGTGTGTCTCGGCGACTACAATGCGGACTTAACAAAATCGAACAGTATTTTTGGACGTGAGTTGATGAGTTACTGCGAGGAACAGAACTGGGTATGTGTTGATATCTCATTATTGGGACTAGCGTCCAAGACTTATACGTATCAAAGTGACTCTCATAGTTCTCATAGCTGGATAGATCACTGTTTAGTGACTGATTCTGCAAGTCGTTTGTTCACGAGTGCATATGTAATAAATGATGTATTTTTGTCAGATCATTTTCCTCTTGTAGTCGAGTTTAATATAGAAAGTGTAATTAGTAAAATAGATAATGCAAGCGATGTGTGTGTGAACAGGGTGTTATGGGGCACTAGAAATTTTGAACAAACTCGTCGATATACTGAATTGATTGAAAAATGCATAAAGAGCTGTAGTCGTCTCATGACGCTCGGTTCGCGCAACATATCGCATTGTGAACATAAGCAGTTCATTGAAAACCTGTACAATGACATTACGGGCTGTATGGCGAGGGCGGCTGTACAGTCTTATGTAGGGAAGTTAAGGAAAAAACAGAAGCAAGTAGCTGGATGGAACCATCATATCAGTTCTAGTCACCAAATTGCAAGACAGGCATATCAAACCTGGATTTTCTATGGCCGTCCTAGTCATGGTAGGGTATATGATGCTATGTATAACGCACGTAAAACTTTTAAGAACAAATTAAAATGGTGCCAGCGCAATGAAAATAAAATAAAAGCAGATATAATGGCTATGTATAGATCAAAAAATGATTTTTATAACTTTTGGAAAGAAACAAACAAACTTAAATATAAATCAAATTTGCCTATGTCAATTAATGGTAGTTGTAATCAAGCAGAAATAGCTAATATGTTTATAACTAAATTTAAACTAGTGAAACCGGTTATTTGTAAGCAGCGCTCAGCTGCTCAGCCGCCACTCGAGGCGTCGCCGGCACGGGGGCGGTGGGGGACGGGAGAGGAGTCGCCGCGAACTGCTGTTGTTGTATCGCGCGCTCACTCACACTCGCAAGCCGTTAGCAATGCATCTATCATGCAAATCACACCTGATCGGTTGTACAAAATAGTTAAGAACATGAAACGCGGCAAATCTCCCGGCCACGACGGCCTCAGCGTGGAGCATGTTTTATATGGTGGGCCGTTACTGATTGAAAAATTATGTTATCTTATGAATGCATGTATTGATTTTGGCTACTTACCGAATGAAATGATTAAAACAATTGTTGCGCCTATTATAAAGAATAGAACAGGGGATGCGTCTAGTATAGAGAATTACCGGCCTATTTCTTTAGCAACAATTGTATCAAAAATCTTTGAAAGAATTATAAATGTATACCTAAACGAATCAAATATTATGTTAAACAGTGCCCAATTCGGTTTTAGAGAGGGTCTCTCAACTGACTTGGCAATATACGCTTTAAAAAACACTGTAAAATATTATCATAACAGAAACACTTCAATTTACTCTTGTTTCCTAGACCTTAGCAGTGCTTTTGATTCAATAGATTATAATTTACTGTGGCGTAAGTTGAGACAAACAAAAGTACCTACAAGAATAATTAATTTATTACAGTATTGGTACTCAAATCAAGAGAACCAAGTCAGATGGGGACAGTCCCTCTCTGTACCATATAAGCTTGAGTGCGGGGTTAGGCAGGGCGGACTAACCTCAACAGTTTTGTTTAATCTTTATATGAATGGTCTGCTGGAGGAGCTCAGCAGCACAAGAGTCGGTTGTCACATTGGCGGAGCATGTGTTAATAACTTAAGCTATGCGGACGATATGGTGCTACTGAGCCCCTCGGTGGCCGGCCTCCGTAAGCTGTTAGGTATCTGTGAAAAGTATGCGCATATACATGGCCTTAAATACAACGTTAAGAAAACGGAAGTAATGATTTTTAAAGCTGGTAGCGGCCCTAGAAGCATCCCAGAAATAACATTATGTGGTAGTTCATTAACTATAGTTACCACGTTTAAATATTTGGGGCATATAATAACCGACTCATTAAAAGACGATCATGACTTAGAAAGACAAAGGCGATCGCTTGCGATGCGTGCTAATATGCTTGCAAGGCGGTTTGCACACTGTTCCAAACAAGTAAAGATTACGTTGTTTAAGGCATACTGCCAGTCGTTTTACACCAGCCAATTATGGGAAAATTATACGAAGAATGTTTTTAATACTCTTCGTGTACAGTACAACAACGCCTTGAGGGTAATACTTGGTCTACCTTGGCGGTGCAGTGCGACTGGTATGTTCGCTGAGAACAACGTAACCGATATATATGTATTGTTAAATAGACTAAAGAAATCATTCCACAGGAGACTGTACGAGTCAAACAATAATATTATTGCATCATTAAACTCAACATTAACATATATCAACTTGGTAAAGTACATTTAATGTCACACACACTGTCTGTCATCTACATATCGCCAATGTTCGTAAAGTGCAATGAAATTTTTTAATAATGTATGTTAATTAATTAATTTAATTTATTTCATTCAATCTAATATGTAAAACTATGTCATATAGTTTTTATTATAATATTTATTTTTATTAATATTATTGTTATTGTCTGAATTTAATTTGATTTGAATAATTGACGAATTGTGATACAATGATTTAATTTTAAGACAAAATTGGACAAAATGCAATTGTTATTGTAATTTTTAATATGGGTTACTGTGCCTGAAATAAACACTTATTATTATTATTATTATTATTATTATTATAATTATTAATATGAGTAAAAATTTATTCTAAAGTACTGTCAACTTCCTTTGTAATCGAGCAAGAACAGCAATGCTAACAATTTGCTAATTTTTGAATAAAGTCGCGATAGGGTATTTGACAGTATTAAAAATAAAGTGCCAATTGTTAGCATCTGTGTTTAGAATGAATATTGGCAGGGGTTTTTACAAATTTTACAAAAAACATTCATTATTTTACTAAAAACCCATGAAAAAGATAATAGTTTTCTTATCTATTGTCACGTGACCCAAAACGCCTGAGATTGGCGAGCCTTAAATGACGTCACACGCAAGTAAACTTCCGGCCAAAGTGACATTTTGATTGTATGGTTTGACGTTTTAATAACAGTCGTGTGACGTCACACACCAGTGAGACGCCATATTGTCCAGAGATACGTTTTTCGCGGCAACTTGAAAATGGAGTTTTTGATTTGGTTTTTTTACCGAAATACACAACATAATGATGAATATTCACTTTTTATGGACTCTATAAACATTAATAACGTGAGATCGTTTTGTAAAACTTGTCAAATACCCTATTAAGGTAGCGGTAGCACAATGGTCAGTGCATTCGCCCGGATAGCGAAGGATGCGGGTTCGAGTCCCGTCTGCAGCCTGGTCCGCGTGGATATTTTTCTAGTAAAATTTTCTTTAACGTATGAACGTTATCAAAAACTTGTCAAACAAACTGTTATTGATGTTTTTATTTATATTAAATACAGATTCAGACTTTATTCTTTATACTATGTAATCAGGAGGAGCTCAATGGCGCAAGCGGATAACGCGTTCGGCTGCGATCATTGAAGTTAAGCAACTTTCGCAGTAGTCGGTCATTGGATGGGTGACCAAAAATTTTACTATCTCTAGCTCCTTCGTGCTTCGGAAGGCACGTTAAGCCGTTGGTCCCGGCTGCACCTGCAGTCGTTAGCACCAGTGTGGGTCATGGCCCAATCTCCCTATTCCATCCATAGGGAAGGCCTGTGCCCCAGCAGTGGGGGCATTAATAGGCTGATGATGATGATGATGTAATCAGGAGCTGGCGAACGAAACGGTATAATTACATGAAATTAAATTTTACAGGAGCTATATAAAATTGTATGACATACCCCCAGTGAGTCTTAGTCTTAGTAGAACGGCGGGCTGTTTCCGCAACTCGACATCTAGTGCCTATTTTGCGTGGGGATTGGCATCAATCCTGCCATCCCAGCTCCTCCAGAAAGCTCAGCAGTCCCCGAATATTGCTGCAGGCCTTAGTCTTAGTAGAACGGCGGGCTGTTTCCGCAACTCGACATCTAGTGCCTATTTTGCGTGGGGATTGGCATCAGTCCTGCCATCCCAGCCCCTCCAGAAAGCTCAGCAGTCCCCGAACGTTACTGCAGGCCTCTACTATAGTCTTCGGGCTTCCCATCAGAGAAGTCCTTTGTCTTGCAACGCCCCTGCACACCAGTAGAACATGGGCGCTCGTCTCCTCGTCTTCCAGGCAGGCTCTGCACAGAGGGCAGTCAGAAATACCTATATTACAAAGGTGTTTGTTGAAATAGCCGTGACCCGTGAGTATACCCACGATTTGTTTTAAGGCTTGTCTAGGTAGTCTGATTAACTTTCGTGTTAGCTGCAGGTTTACCTTGGGAACGGCTTCCCTAGCATGCCTGCAGTCCGTGAGTTCTGTCCATTATTCGTTACGTTGTCGTTGACAGCTCTCCCTTATCCATGTTCGCAGCTGTCGATAGGGTATGGGTACAATAGGCTCCGGACCAATGGCCGTCCTGCTAGGACCTTCCCTGGCTAAGCAGTCCGCCGCATCGTTACCCCTTGAGCTGCTGTGTCCTTTAATCCACAACAAAGTCAATCTATTGCTGCAGGCCTCTACTATTGTCTTCGGGCTTCACACCAGAGAAGTCCTTTGTTTTGCAACGCCCCTGCACACCAGTAGAACATAGGCGCTCGTCTCCTCGTCCTCCAGGCAGGTTCTGTACAGAGGGCTGTCAGAAATACCTATATTGCAAAGGTGTTTGTTGAAGTAGCCAAACCCAGCGCCCAGTGAACTTTTGGCATTGTTTTTAATTTATAAATTTTGTAATTTCAACACTGTTATAAGCGGGTTTTGATTGAAAATCATTTGAGATTCAAATTCAACTCCTGAGAAACCTCCGGAGTGTGAAAAAAAATAGTTTGACCAGATGCGTAGTTATACCGTTTTGTTCGCCAGCTCCTCAAATAGCCTATTTGAATAAAGCTTATTTTAATTTCATTTCAGTCCAATGCATCCCTAAAGTACCATCAACGCACCCACACGGGTGAGAAACCATACAGTTGTGGTTCTTGCCCCAAAAGGTTTTCCGATAATAACCAACTCAGAATACACAGTAGAATGCATACTGGGGAAAGGCCTTACACTTGCAACGTATGCGGAAAGAGATTCAGCCAAAAACCGGCTTTAAACAGACATTATCGGGTAAGATTTCACTATACTTAATTTAAGATGATGCTCGATTATGAGAGAAAAATAGATTAGGCTGTATAAACTTTGGTATTCTTTGCCTCTAAGATTTCACTATACTTAATTATAGGTTTAAGATGATGCTCGATTTTGAGAGAAAATGTGATTAGGCTGTATAAAATTGGTATCCTTTGCCTTCTTGAGAAATGACAAAGAATAATTAATTGTGGGCAAGTACATATAAAAAGTAAAGTAAATTAAAGATAAATGCATTGGGAATCGTCTTTCGAGCGGAGGTTAGCATTACATATACAATAAAATTATACTAACGAGTATTATTAATAGTTCTTACCATCATTAGTTATCATAAGCTAACATGATATTGTACCTAACTATAGGTTTTATTTAAGATGATGATGATATAGAGAGAAAATAAGATTAGTCTGTATAAACTTGGTATTCTATGTCTGGTATGGAGTATTCACAAAATGCTTAGACGTAGTTAAGATTACATTGGTGTCGATTCTAGCATGATTCTCTAAAGCTAAACTTAAATTTGACAACAGTGTATCCTTGTCATTCTCCATACAGAATGAAAAGGAGAGACTGATGTTAAATTAAATTTAGTGTTAAGTTTAGAGAATCGTATCAGAATCGGCACCATTGTACACACCTGTAAATTTTATTTAAGATGATGATTTTATAGAGAGAAAATAAGATTAGGCTGTATATATGTACTTAGCATCCTTTTCCTTATCTCTTTCCAGGGATTTGTAAACTACATCCGATGCTAGTGCTTATAATAAAATAAAAATAATAACATTCTAAAGAAAAGTGTTACTAGAAAATAATCCACACGGCCCGAATAGAGGAAGTAGTATTTTATGATCATTTTTTTAAAATCTAGCAGTTAATCACTTTCAGTAACTATATAGTAACATTTATTTTTCTAGTATACTTTTCTTTCGATTTAAACATCTAACAGTTAAATGCTTAAAAATATAAATATAGTAACATGTTTTTTTTTCTAGGTTCACACAGGCGCAAAACCTTATGATTGTCAATTGTGTGCAAAAACATTTAGCCAATCGAATTCGCTAAAGTTACATGTTAACACAGTACATTTGAAACTGCCAAGCAAAAAGAAAGCCTATGTACAACCAGAAGATAAAAGTAACGATACTCAAATGCAAAGTTTACAATAGGATAATCCAACTATTCATGGAATATATTTATAATAGGGAATGTGCATGAAATTTAAAGGTCGTAGTTCAAATTTGAATGGAAGGTAGGAGGGTGGTAGTGAGTCTCCGGCAGACTCCAAATTTGTATGGAGGGTAGTAGTGAGTCTCCGGCAGACTCCAAATTTGTATGGAGGGTAGTAGTGAGTCTCCGGCAGACTCCAAATTTGTATGGAGGGTAGTAGTGAGTCTCCGGCAGACTCCAAATTTGTATGGAGGGTAGTAGTGAGTCTCCGGCAGACTCCAAATTTGTATGGAGGGTAGTAGTGAGTCTCCGGCAGACTCCAAATTTGTATGGAGGGTAGTAGTGAGTCTCCGGCAGACTCTAAATTTGTATGGAGGGTAGTAGTGAGTCTCCGGCAGACTCCAAATTTGTATGGAGGGTAGTAGTGAGTCTCCGGCAGACTCCAAATTTGTATGGAGGGTAGTAGTGAGTCTCCGGCAGACTCCAAATTTGGATGGAGGGTGGTAGTGAGTATCCGGTGGACTCCAAATTTGTATGGACGGTGGTAGTGAGTATCCGGTGGACTCCAAATTTGTATGGAGGGTGGTAGTGAGTATCCGGCAGACTCCAAATTTGTATGGAGGGTGGTAGTGAGTATCCGGTGGACTCCAAATTTGTATGGAGGGTGGTAGTGAGTAACCGGCAGACTCCAAATTTGTATGGAGGGTGGATGTGAGTATTCGGCAGACTCCAAATTTGGATGGAGGGTGGTAGTGAGTATCCGGTGGACTCCAAATTTGTATGGACGGTGGTAGTGAGTATCCGGTGGACTCCAAATTTGTATGGAGGGTGGTAGTGAGTATCCGGCAGACTCCAAATTTGTATGGAGGGTGGTAGTGAGTATCCGGTGGACTCCAAATTTGTATGGAGGGTGGTAGTGAGTAACCGGCAGACTCCAAATTTGTATGGAGGGTGGTAGTGAGTATCCGGTGGACTCCAAATTTGTATGGAGGGTGGTAGTGAGTATCCGGCAGACTCCAAATTTGTATGGAGGGTGGTAGTGAGTATCCGGTGGACTCCAAATTTGTATGGACGGTGGTAGTGAGTATCCGGCAGACTCCAAATTTGTATGGAGGGTGGTAGTGAGTATCCGGCAGACTCCAAATTTGTAGGAGGGTGGTAGTGAGTATCCGGTGGACTCTAAATTTGTATGGAGGGTGGTAGTGAGTTTCCAGCAAACTCCAAATTTGTATGGAGGGTGGTAGTGAGTAACCGGCAGACTCCAAATTTGTATGGAGGGTGGTAGTGAGTATCCGGTGGACTCCAAATTTGTATGGAGGGTGGTAGTGAGTAACCGGCAGACTCCAAATTTGTATGAAGGGTGGTAGTGAGTATCCGGTGGACTCCAAATTTGTATGGACGGTGGTAGTGAGTATCCGGCAGACTCCAAATTTGTATGGAGGGTGGTAGTGAGTATCCGGCAGACTCCAAATTTGTATGGACGGTGGTAGTGAGTATCCGGTGGACTCTAAATTTGTATGGAGGGTGGTAGTGAGTATCCGGCAGACTCCAAATTTGTATGGACGGTGGTAGTGAGTATCCGGCAGACTCCAAATTTGTATGGAGGGTGGTAGTGAGTATCCGGCAGACTCCAAATTTGTATGGAGGGTGGTAGTGAGTAACCGGCAGACTCCAAATTTGTATGAAGGGTGGTAGTGAGTATCCGGTGGACTCCAAATTTGTATGGACGGTGGTAGTGAGTATCCGGCAGACTCCAAATTCGTATGAAGGGCGGTAGTGACTCTCCGGTGGACTCTTAATTTGTATGGAGGGTGGTATTTAGTCTCCGGCAGACTCCAAATTTTTACGAGATGTAGAGCACTAAATTGTAAAATATTTGTCAATTTTTTTATTTATGAATATATGCTATTATAAAATTATATAACTATTTATTGGCAAATGGCAAATTTATTAATCTATTTTTTTTTGATTTGATTGAAAATTAATCGGGGATTAATAAAAATTCAAAAGTATCTGTTCATGTTTTAATATAAAACATGCTTTCAAATGATTTATGTTTCGTCGCTGCCGGAAATGTAATGTAAATGCCGGGGCGGGGGTGTAAATGTAACTCTAGGTAGGGCTAACAATATTTTTTCTTAATGACTAAGAGTGGATGCAAATAATTCAATAGAAAAAACTAGTATATATTCCCTATTATAGTCATCATCAGCCTATTAATGTCCCCACTATTGGGGCACAGGCCTTCCCTGAGGATGGAATAGGGAGATTGGGCCATGACCCACCACGCGGACCCAGTGCGGATTGGCGGATACTAACGACTGCAGATGCAGCAGGGACCAACGGCTTAACGTGCCTTCCGGAGGAGCTCGAGATAGTAAGTTTTGGTCACCCATCCAATGAGCGACCACTGCGAAAGTTGCTTAAGTTCAACGATCGCAGCCGATCGCGCTAACCACTTGCGCCATCGAGTTCCTCGATATAGTGAGTATATTACTCTCAGGTAGTATGGATATTCACTCAAAAGAATACCTAAAATGTGTCAGTATTATTAATCAGAAATAATATTTTAAAATTTAGATTATATTATAGATAATTCGCATATTTCTCATTGTATATATTGCTAAGAAAAAATAAATAAATGAATGTTTTGCGATAAATAATTTGGTTTTATTTCATAAGAAAATAAAAACGAAGCCAAATGCGGGAGGACTTCTCGCCATTGTACGACTTTTTTTGGCTAGTATTTATTTTGGGTGTATTCCGAAATATACAACAGTACACTGGCCAGAGGAAATGAAGTCACGAATACGACGCCATATTGTACTGGTATGCTACCATATTTTTACCGGGAAAATAAATATGACGTAAGACTGAGCGTGCGTGAACAGCAGTTAAATTTTAATTCTTTTTTATTTAAAGAACAATAACGGCATCTGAACAAAAAGAATTCCTTTTAATTGATGAGGTGAATGGAAAATCTTCTTTATTCGCACTATTTTAAATTTTTCGTCGATTTATCGTCGTCAGTGCACTGCCCCCCTAGCATGAGCACCGCGATATGATATATAATGCGTTTTTATCACGCTCAATTGTCAAATTACTATGGAGTTTGACAGTTAGACGCGATAAAAAACGTGATATAATGTAAGTTGTGGTGCTCATACTACGGGGACTGGATCGTATATTTCGGAGCAATTCACCAGTATAGCGTCGATTCATGACATCATTGGCACTGGTCAGTATACCAGCCCCCCCTACCATGAGCAGCGCGATATGTTATAAAGCTCGTTTTTATCACGCTCAATTGTCAAATTACTAGGTATCGAGTTTGACAGACGCGATAAAAAACGTGATATAATGTAAATCCATTATATTTTAAGTTATAGTTTAATTTTTCAGTGACTATCATCGGGTGCGGACGGTTTATCTGAATCATATTCAGTATATTTTGTATCGTTTGCCTATACTCGTGAGTGTATCAGTGAAATAAGTACGTAAAACCCTTAGATTAAAACAAAAAGGGTACCGTATCTTCCCTTTTTGTTTTAATCTAAGTGTGTTTGGATGTCCAATTGTGACTAAAGTTAATTGTGGTCATGCACCACAATTTAAGCGGATCACTTTTGAGCCTCGAGTGCCGTATCTTCCCTTTCTGTTTTAATCTAAGGTAAAACCTTACGTTTCCAAAGAGACTGTGTTTACTTTCACATCCAGGTGAGATTCAATTACCTATATGAATCTTGTGTTAAATTTTGTTACCTAATTTAATATAAATGCAATTCTCGAAATTCATATCAAAATTAAAGACTTGAAGTTTTATAACGCTCTATTACATTTCCCAGGGATACTTCAGTGGAAAAAGTGTTTAGTACCTCATTTACTATGCAAGATGTGATTGGGTCGTGTTATTCGAAAAGTCCAAGATACTTATAGTCTGTAGAATTCTCCGCAATGCCCGAGATATACATTACAGCTTTAGTGTGATTTGTAAGCCACCGTCACGCTTTTGTAGATTGAGGGAAAGACACTTGCTCTATTACGTTTCTCAACGAATGGTTTTTGAAGTTATTTGAAGTTATACTTCTTTAGGCGCGTTATGAAAAAATGATGAGAGTGAAATTTTTAGATGCGCGCGCATCACTGTAACCCAAAAGTAACAGCATGAAGTTGGCCGCGGGCGCGTTATGAAAAAATCATGTGAGTGAAATTTCGGGATGCGCGCGCACCACTGTAACACAATAGTAACACCATGAAGTTGGCCGCGGGCACGTTATGAATGTTAGTGTCTGACATCTGTTCGAAAGGTACTTTGAACGATTCACGGAGCTCCATAAGATGATCGCGTTGTCAAAAACAATGTTGGCACGCTCGTCGCCTCTGATCACTGTTTTCATATTTATAATATTTATCCACATGTTTCTAGTTTCTATATAGACACAACGTGTTTTAGTTACTTACAAGTGCTAATTACAAATGGACTAATAACTTAAATTCAGTAGTGATTTTAATTGAATATTTTGAATATTTATTTAATTTTTCAAATTAAAACTGAACTTAATTGACTGTGTTAACTATCCTTTTCCAGTCCTTTTATTATTTTATTGTAATTATTAATTATTTGCATGCAATTAAAAAATATTTTTAATGATGCTAAAGAAGTATAACTTCACACGCGCGTACATAAGTTACACGCATCCATTTTTTTTTATTTTGTAGAAATTAAAATATTTGGGAAAAGTGTTCAGTACTTTAAGTGCTATGCAAGATGTGATTGGGTCGTGTTTTTTGCAAAGTCCAAGATACATTTCAACTCTAGTCTGTTTATAAAGGTTTCCGCAATGCCCGAGTATACATTACAGCTTTAGTTACAGTTTCAAGAAATTCAGTAATATAGCATCATAAAATAATAATAATTAATTTATTAATACCTTATGGTGGCTGAATAATGGAAAAAGGAAATTAGAGAGTAATAATCGCATAGTTTGTGATCACTTCACTAGAGATAGGCGTATTTAGATATTTTTGAAATCGATGCGCATCGATATCATTTAAAACGCATTGATGCTGGCATCGGTATCGTAGTATTACAGGATGCGATGCGATACGAATTAGGACTCTTTGATTCCATGAGTCATGACTTGAAAATGTAATCGAAACCATTTATTTACTTTTCGGCATGGTAACTGAAAATATTAAATATTGGCAAAATTATTACCTATAAAGTTGCACTCAAAGCCTAGGTTTTCAACGCAATCCAGTGCCACAAACTTTTCCGTGCATGCCGGTGGCAAGGATATGAACTACAATTTTTCCATTGCATTTTTAAATTTCTTCTTACCGCTAGCGACATCTCCATCGGCACAGATAAGTTTGTGGCACCGAAGCTATAGTATCGTTGAAAAAAACTAAAAGGTATCGGCATCCAATAATGGTAGTCGGTATCCAGTCACATTGGATGCACGCATCCAAACGTAGCATCGTTATCATGCATCGTTATTCTAAAAACGCCCACCCCTACATACACAGCACTAGCGTGGCGTCATGGCGTGGCTGTATGACATTATAAAATAATGCACACTTTGCTTTTGAAAAAAACGTGTAAAAACAATTAAAAAGCGAAGGGTGCCTGCTTTGTTTACTTTAATTTTGTTTATTTTCAGTTTGAAGAATAGTTTTTGTATATTTTAGTGTAGTATTTTTATTTAAGGTATGTATGACTAATAAAATTAATCAGTTCTCTAAGTTACTAAGCGTGAGCCTTACATTTGACAGACGCAAGACATGAGAGTTTTAATCTTAAGTAATTAAATTCGTAGCTGACCATCAAGTATACAATATTTAAAGCCCCTTTTGAATGATGTACATTCAATATTTACAGACAATTTATAATGTCGGAGTCGGAGAGCCTATCGAAGCGTAAAAAACTCGATCCAGAGACCAATTCTGTAGTAAGTATAACCTCATTTCAATCTTTAAATTTGTAAAAAGTTTTCTATCAAATTTCTAAAATTTCATAAATTTCTTTGGTCACGCCGACCGAAGGCTGATACTGATATAACTACATTGTCGACTAACACTTCTCTCACAGCACACTCTCCACATGGATATTCTGTTTTTAATTTTATCCTCAGACCAAATAAAAAGTTTTTATGTAAACTTTTTTTGAGATTTTATCATACTGATTTTGAAGCAAGCAAAAATGAGTACTGTAGACCAATGTTAAACATATAATTATGAAAGCAGAAAAATTAGTAATGGACGCTCCATTACTAATTTTTCGTACTAACAAACAGAATCAATCCTTAACATGGATTCATAGAACCAATTTTTATGTGCCTTAAAAATGCAACAATTTAGAGAAAAGTACAGTAGAATAGCATAATTTTTTACAATAAAATAGAAAAAAAAATCTGCTAGCTGTTACTAGTTAGTTTTAAATTTAGTTTTTATCATTGAGATTTAGAAAATTTGAACTTTATTCCAGCCATCAAATGAAATTGAAGAATATGAGGAGGTAGTGTTAGAAGAATTCGAAGGCAGTGAAGAAGAAAACAAATCTTTGAGCTGTGGAGTGTGTGACAAAAAATTCTCAACAATCGAAGCTCTCAACGGACACTCTAAAATAGAACACTTTGTTATATATAGAACAGATGACACTGAATCTGAGTATGGAACCATTGAAACTGGGGTAATTTTTTTGATACCTGAATCTAATTATAATGTAATACTAATATTTCTTATATTCACACCAGTGACCCTAGCTCCCATAATATTTAAGAATATACAAATGCTCCGATTTATCATAGAAACATCATTTTTCCCTACTGGTATTCCATAATAGGGTGATTACCAACTTTTTATTTCATTGTCTAACAGGAAGTTTACCAAAAAGTATTATGTACATTTTTTTTCCTTTATTCATATAATCAAAACATTACTCAGGTAAATTGAAATGATTGTTAAAATACATCACTTCTTGTTATATATAATTTGTCTTGATACAAGTGACATACAAGCCCCCACTTCCAAACTTTGATGTTTGTTCCATTGTAATTTTTTTGTTGATCCAGAAAAAGAAAAAAATATGTGTCCATTTTTTTTTGTAATATATCTGATGGACCAAATAGTTTTTTATTTTAATTTACCCAGTCATCACATCACCACTTTTGATAATATGCTACCCCTTTCACATTTGAAAAATATAAATTATCTTTTCATAAACATAATTATGATATCATTTCAGGAACTTACTACAATAGAAGCAACATCAGTTCAGTTTGAGAGTGATGACAATGATGATGAAGCTGAAATCTGTGATATATGTTCCAAAAAATTTGCAACAGAAACCGCTCTTCACAATCACATAAAATTTGAACACAGTGAGGCGGATACAAATATGTATGTTGATTCTCAGGAAATTATTGTAAAGGTGAGCACTCTTAGTAAAGACTTAAGGCTATAAGACTTTCCATCCAAAATAAAAACCAACATCATGAAATAAAACTAAGGAATTACATATACTTACTTGACTTGATCAAAAGATTAATAAAGGCTTAGTTTAAATAAATTTAAAACGACTGCCATTAAAAATGCTACTATATTTGTATATATTTGATAGACTCATTAAGACCTTTCAAATGATACCTACAGTAGAACGCCGATTATCCGAACGCCGATTAACCGAATCGCCAATTATCCGAATCGGTCATAAGCGTAATATAAAAAATTAAAACCAAGTCATTTTTGTTTTGTTCTAATAAGTTGGAACTCGCTAAAGTCCAGCGAGTATGTTAAATACCTATATATATTTATATCAACTGTTAATGGTTGAAAGCTAGAGGCAAGACACTACATGTTTTACTGTTCTTAATTTTGTTTTGCTACTATGTACCTCTATTATTGTATCTAGTATTGTAGAACTGTGTTTGTTAAACGTAATAAAGTTTATTCTATGTGTGGCAGTTCGTTTTTCTTTATTACTTGTCTATGTCCGATTATCCGTATTTTCGATTATCCGAATCGACCCCGGTCCCAATTAATTCGGATAATCGGCGTCCTACTGTATATTGTAATAATAAGAATACTTTTTATATTGACATAAATACTCGTCAATTAGACATGTGTTAGACATTGCCATTTTTTTATTTTAACAGTTTAGGTATTCTATGTTACCCGCAATGGTAAAAGTTTCTAAGGATACCACACACATCTAAATCGTTTCAGGTATTTATGAGTTATGCTGGAATAAAGAATTGTACATCCATACATGAATCCTGAATACATTAAACTCTTTTATTCTTGGGCAGTTGTTTAAAGGGGAATAAATGGCACTCTTTTCTGAATAGCTTACATTAGGTGCACCCCAAGTTACTCAGAAATGTTATAAAGTACAAAATTATGTGTTATAATAAATTTAAGGAATATTTCGACAAAAGAAGTAAACAAAACGGTATATGGTATAAGACAATACAGTGTCAGCCTCTTCAGACTCCATGGTTCATAGAAACCAAATTAAATAGGTACGACATATGTCGTTCTTGCTCACAGATTACGATCAGGTCATTATCCATCTAGGAAGTTTGAAAAATGCTAATTCGGCCGCTAGTAATATTATATAAGTACATTTTTTTCAGGAAGAGCCAAGTTATATCGTGGAAGAAGATGAAGTGCTTGTGGATAAAGAAGAAGACATTGAGGATACTGCAGAGGAAACGATAGGTTGCAGAATATGTCTGAAGAAGTTCTCGACTGTAGCGGCACTCAACAACCATGCCATGATTGATCACATCGAAGTTTATAACACTGGTGACTCCGATGCCTGGACTTGTGAATTGTCTGAACTTAATGTAAGTAGTAGATGACCATGTGTACTTTGTATCACCTATCCTAACGAGATTAAGGCTGCTTCTCCGCTATGCTATGCTACGTTGCTGTGGATGCGTTTGATATCCACCAATCAAATTCATTGGTCCTCATAGCAAAGCACTGGTGGTGTAACGTGAAAAACCGGGTAAGTGGGGTAAATAAATAAATAATATAATAAATAATAAACGTTTATTGACTTAAAGCAAGTTACAATATTTTAAATTAATAATACAAAGATTGGTGACAAGAGGCACATTGGAGCTTAAATATTGTTAAAGGTGACTTCTGTTGCCAGTGGTAGGATAACCTGTATTACAGGCAACAGGGTCCCCTCTATATACGTAAATACTGTAGCCGATTTAGGTGTACGCACATTGGTTGCATGATTACTTATATAGATATATAAACTAGTTATAAAAACTACAGAAACCGACAATAACTAAATGCTGCTGTATTTGATTACACAATAAAGTGTTCTAATTAATTATTTACTAAACACTCCGTCTCTTCGTAATCCATACCTTTCAGCCATTTGCCAACTTTTATTTTGCAGTTATACATTGTAAGGGAATGAATTGATAAAAGAGAATTTAATTTTTTTATATAATTTTGCGCTCATATATTGGTAGTTTTTTCGGGCAAATGAGGTTTTACAAATGACATTAGGGAAAGGTTGCTTGGGTCGTCTAGCAACTACTGAGACAACAGGACCGGTCGGTGCCGGATTAGATTTATGAAACCGAAGAATTGAACGTAAAATATACAGTTGCCGTACAGTGAGACAATTAAATTCTTTGTATAGTTCCCGAGTTGGGTATCTGTATGGTTTCCGGAGAAGGACCTTAAGGACCGCTCGCTGCGCACGTTCCAAGTGAACGAATTTTGTTTTTGAGGAACCCCCCCATATTGGAATACAGTATGAAAGAATTGACTCAATTAGGGAATTATAGACTGTGTGGAGAATAGAGGGATTAGCAGAATTTCGAAGTCTTTTTGCGATGAAGATGAATTTCCTCAAACGGTTGGATAGAGACTGGATATGTTCATACCAATTTAAACATTGATCCAGCTGAACACCAAGGTACCGAACTGATGATGTCCTGCCAATTAAGGGACAAGCACAGAGGTGGGATAGATTTGATGTACAACACTGATGCGCTTTTAGTTTTATCGAGTTTAATGGTGGCTGAGCTGAAGGCTTGATGGAAAAGGTGATGAACGTTGTCTTGTCTATGTTTAAAGTGAGTAGATTTTGGGAGAGCCAATTCATGACTTGTGCGAAAGCCCGTTCGGCATGTAATGCTGCTTCATCCCAGGTTTTTCCATGTACAAGGATGGCTGTGTCGTCAGCGTAGGAGAAGATATGACAATTTGGGATGGAATTTTGACAAAGGTCGTTAACATAGACGAGAAAGAGGGTAGGCCCAAGAATACTACCCTGGGGAACGCCGCAGTCTATAGAAACGTCATCACTTAAGCATGTGTCAATACGAACGCACTGCTTTCTATCCGAAAGATAATCTGAGAATATATTTTAAAGTAGATCCCCGTACACCAAGACACTCCAGTTTCTTTATAAGTATGGGAATGGAAACTGTGTCGAATGCCTTGGAAAGATCTAGAAACAGTCCAAGGCATTTACGTCTCTCATCCATTTTCTGTACAGCAAGTCGGGTCAATGAGAGGATAGCATCTTCGGTGGAAAGTCCCTTTCTAAAGCCAAATTGATTTGCTGAGATGAGTTTATTGTGCTCTAAAAAACCCACCAAGGCATTATTTAAGACACGCTCCAAAACCTTTGAAAGTGTAGGTAGAACGGAGATGGGGCGGTAATTTTTAACTGAGGTTCTGTCACCATGTTTGAAAATGGGGTGTATAATAGCCCTTTTCAGTGCCGTAGGAAATTGACCTCGTTCAAGGGATATGTTACATATGTGAGTAATAATTGGCACTAAGTAAGTACTACAGGATTTCAAAAGTTCTGCAGAAATGCCATCCCAGCCTACCGCACTGTCAGAACGAAGAGAGTGAATTATTCTTTTGATTTCTTCTTCATCTACCTTGGGAATAGCCAGAGAATTTAAAGGAGATTGGGGAGTATTCACAGAGGGGGTGTAATTAAGGTTAAGTTTTAATTTGTTCGCAAGTTGACTACCAATTTCCGAAAAATATTTATTAACTTTATTAATTGATTCAATTTTTGTTTCACTGATATTTAAAAGTTCAATAGGATGTGTTTTTTTTTGTTTTGTATTTGTGATCTTTTTAATGAGTTGCCATGTCTTTTTAGGGTTATTATTTACTTTTTCGAATTCGGATTTCTCGTATTCACTTTTTAGACTTTTCAATATGTTATTGCAGAAATTGCGGTAACGCTTGTATGTTATGTTAAGAATAAGATTATTAGGTTCAGTTTTTACTCTTTTTTGTAAATTATTTCTATTATGTATACACCTTAATAATCCGGGAGTTATCCACGGTTTAATTATTCGCTTCCTCGAAGGAATTCGAATAGATATAGTATTTGTCTTCACTATTCCAGACAATTTTAAACAAGCGGTCTGTTGCCAGGTTTGGGTCATTGATAAAAAGTAAATCAGACAAATCGGTTTCTCTTAATGTTTCAGTAACAGCCTGGTAATTAGTATGAGATATAAAGCGACTAATTGTTTGAGGATTATGGGCAAGATTGAGGCCTAGCAAAACCGCTTGATGGTCGGTTACTGATGATTCAATAACTAGGGTAGTTGCTAGGTTAGAAGTTTTAAGTAAAACATGGTCTATGCAGTTGTACTTTCTAGTGGGAATTGTATGCGCTGGCAAAAGTCCATGGGAAACAGTTACATTGAGATAATCCTCAGAATGTCGATCTGTGTTACCCGCTTTGATATCGATGTTGATGTCACCAATTACAACAATATTATGGAAAGTTCCAAGTTTAGACAAATTATCATTTAAGTCACTCATAAAAGAATCAGTGTTCCTAAATGAGGGAGGCCTATACAAAGCAATTATTGCAGTGTCTTTTCCCATTGTTAATATTAAACAATTAGCTTCCTCAAAGTTTGGTTCATATACTGTGATCTGGGCTAGTTTGTCATTAACGAATATAACAAGTCCCTCATTTTGACTCCTGTTTTTTGACGTCGAATAAGTATTATAACCTTCAAGAGACGGTAGACAGTCAGCTTTGGACAACCAGCATTCACTTAAAATCAAAATATCACATGCAAACTTGAGTGACTCCAGCAAAACTACAAATCCGTCAAAATTCTTATTAATACTCCGGATATTAACGTGCATTATAGTAAGCGTGTTATTTAGGTTATCGAAATAATCAACACATTCCCCCGGATGACAAATATATGAATTGGAAACCTGCAAATTATCCAGTTCAGGATTTAGCTCTACAAAATTAGCCATTGGGATGAGAGTTATAATTTAAAATTATGTCTGAAAAGCATGGATGTAACAAAACATAAGCAATAAACAAGCATGGATCTCTTAATGAAACTAGAGAGAAAGGGCTTAGGGTAACATTTTTTGAGTTATTTTGAAAATACAGCTGCATGAATACATATGTAAGGAGTTTACAGTTACAATTAAATTTACTATACCAGTTTAGTGAAAAAGTAAATGTGTAGTTAGATTTTAATGATAATATGAAATAAAACAATAAAACTAAAAGATGATAAGCTAGTCACTGCGACTGCTTCAGTAGATTTGCTAAGCATTGTTCGGTTTTGATTAGAATTTGTTTGGTCGTGAGTTCTTTACGTAGAAATATATTACCATTTGAAGACCAGCAGAACATGTACTTATGTTGTTTCGCAAACTCTCTGGAATAATAGAAAAGCTTTTTCGTTGTGGGTGGAAGATATTCGTCCACAAATACAGGCCGTTGCTCGCCAGGAACTCCAATGTGAGACGTGTTGAGTTTCACTTCATTTGTTTTTTTCTTATTAAATGACTTAGAACATGCCAAAAATTGGTGTTTTGTTTGTACGCAAACAAATTCTACAATTATGGGTTTATTGGCGCCTGGTTTTGCCGGCAAACGACGAACGTCTCGTATGTCAGAAAGAGAAACGTTTCGATCAATTGTCGTGCCGATTTTTGTTACGATCGAAACAAGATCCGTGAATGTTTCCTTATCCGTGGCTGGTACATTCCTTATCTCTATTGACGCATTTCGTGCATTTAACTGAAGGTCCCTTAATTTATTTTCCAAAGTTTCCGTATAGTTTCTGAGTTCAGTCCGTTCTTTTTCCAATATTTCGATTCTAAGCTTCATGTCTTCGTATTGCTGATTTATAAAACTGATAGAATTTTCTATATCTTGATTCGTTTTTTGAATCTGTGCATTTTGAGATTTTATTTCTGCAACATCTGCCACTAGTTTATTCAGAATGCAATTTTGATTTTCGATAAGCTTCATTAGGTTAGTATCACGAGTATATATCATATCCAATATGTCAGATTTTACAGGTGACACCTCCGTTCTTGGACGTTTATTCCGAGGGGGTAAGTTGACACTATCATCCACTGCCTTATTCTCCAATACGGATTTCGATAAATCAGGTTCAGACTGTGTTTCCGCTAAGTTTATGTTCGACATCGAAGGAGGTGAGCGTTGAACCCTGGGCATTTTATATTGATTCACAGAAATTTCAACCCGGTCTAGGTAAGCGTGCGCTCTTGTAGATAAATTTTTTTAAATGGTCGAAAGAAGATAAATATTATAATATCACTTAGCTTGGACTTGGATCCATCCGTAGCAATCCGTCTACAGATGCCGTAGCGAGAACAGCTGTCGTAGCGCTGCCGTAGTTCACGTACTGACGTCAGAGGTCGGTAAGGACTCGATATTTGGATCCTGCTACGATAACCGCTGTGGCGTAATGTTGCAATTGCCGCGACCGTGCGCTCACAAACTCGGTTTCGAATCCAGTTTCTCCCCACAAGATTTTTATTTGGCTAATAATAGATCACCATTAAACACCGTGAACACAAAATTATAGCTGTCCCACTCTAAGACCGCCCAAGGGGAGGAGCCAGTCCATAAACACTTCACAGGTGCAACAAGGAATTGAACTTTAGAACTACAAACCAATCACAAATTTTCGAATAGGATTTTAGATAAAAATTATAAAACAACAAGATACACGTCCGCTCTGCGCGCACACTCGAGGAGGACCAAATAAAAATAAGACTCCGATTATAACTCCATTTATTGGTAATCTCCAAATTTTAAATGTTAAGGTTAAGGTAAATTACGTTAAGTTAGTTATCTTTAAACAAGTTTAAACAATATTAATAAAACGGAGTGGAATTAGCCGCTGGCTGGAGCCGCACGGTCACGCAAATAAAACGGTCGTTACAATTAAATTTAATAGATAGGTAAAAAACACAGGTCGTGGCGCATTTGGTCGATAACGCTTGGTATGTTAAAAGTTAAAGTTAATTTAGGTAAAAAAAAGAAATAGTTATCTGTAGGTCCAGGGTAGACAGCACGAAGGGTAGTCTGCGCACAGAGTGCAGTCCAAACTCGTCGGGGTAAGTAGATGAGTTGGGGTAAGCAGAGGCTTCGTCAGCTGATTAGGACTGGAGAGTCCTTCTGGGGTAGCTACAGGTTATATGGGACGTTGCCTGGGTAGCAGGACGTCAGGGTAACATTGCGGTATAATATGGCAATAACTTGCAGCATAGCATTGCACCATAACATTGCACCATAACATTGCACCATAACATTGCACCTCCTATCGGAGGTGTTGGAGACAGCAAGTACAATATGATTTAATGGTTTATTCTTCCATGTTATTATCAATTATTAAATCGTGTGACGATTTCTCATGTGAAGCTTCCGCTTAGCCAAAAAGCGAAACGTGGAACGCCTTCGTGGCGAATCGTGGAAGCAAAAAGTTATTTTGTTTCTCGCAATGTGCGAAGAAGAACTCATGCCGGAAGTAAGCACATCTTTCTCATCCTGCTACATAGCTTAGCATCAATGGAAACGGTAGTTTCGTAGTTTTTCAAAAAATTCAAAATTCAATATCGTTTATTCAGTCTAGGCTGTTACAAGCACTTGTGAATGTCGAAAAGCTACGCCATCGGTTCGCAAATCTACGGCGGGAGACCTTGTACTGAGAAGAACCGACAGGAAACTCAGCAAGGGCTTTTTTTCTCCTTGTATTATATACAGAGTTGTCAAATTGAAAAATTACTTCAATATCGGATAACTCAAGAAGTCACTTTCCGTTACAAATGTAAATGATATAACAATTATGACTATAAAATAAATAAATATATATAAAAAACTGATTTAAAAATAAAAGTTTAAGAATGTTTAGGCATAAAAAGATGTACGACTAAAGTTAAATACAACGATTAATAGTACCCAATGTAGCAAGAGAAGACTCATCTCCGCTGGCAGCACCCGTTCACGAGCATGACGCATGAACCAGCCATCGCTTCGCTCAACCTTTTTTAGGGAACGTAACGACCCGCCTCTCACGACACCTATACTTGAGTACAGTTAGAAAGGGGTGTTGGTATGTACAGCGAGCCTAAAACTCTGTCTTCGCTGAAATGGCTGAAAATTTTGATCAATTATGTCAGGCATTTTTGACAGGAAGGTAGGTATATATTACGGGTAGTGCAGTTTATATTACGGGAGAATGAAATTTTTACTGTCTTACTCGTAATTTTTCCATATTACCTCACCGTTTAAGCCTTCCCTGGACTACGCCAAACATTTCAAAACCAAAATCAGCTAAATCGGCCAAACCATCGGCTACGCTATCGGTTGACTTTGGGAGACCTTGTACTGAGAAGAACCGGCAAGAAACTCAGCAAGGGCTGTTTTTTTCTCCCTGTATTATCCCTGTATACTGAGTTGTCAAATTGAAAATTGACTTCAATATGGGATAACTCAAGAAGTCACTTTCCATTACAAATGTAAATGATATAAAACTTATGACTATAAAATAAAAAAAAATATAAAAAACTGATCAACTCAACTCAACAAGGTTTAGGAATATTTAGGCATAATACCGTTTACAGCAATTACTAAAAAAAAATACAAACATGAGGGAGAGAGTCACACTCATTTTTCTCGCAAAACAATAATGGTAATGAACCGCGGACAATTTACATTTTCGATGTACAGTTAGACGCGATAAAAAACGATCAAGTTTTTTATCGCGTCTAACTGTCAAACGCTGACAATTGAGCGTGATAAAAACGCGTTATATATCATATCGCGGTGCTCATGCTATGTGGGCTGTTGTTATCGCGAATCTGTCTGTCCAGCGCATGGGACTTCTTTCTCTTGGACGCCTTCCCCTGTACATTTCCTGTCTCCAGCCCCTTCAAAAACGATCACGTTTTTTATCGCGTCTAACTGTTAAACGCTGACAATTGTGCGTGATAAAAACGCGTTATATATCATATCGCGGTGCTCATGCTATGCGGGTTGTTGTTATCGCGAATCTGTCTAGCGCGTCCAGCGCATGGGACTTCGTCGTCTTGGTCGCCTTCCCCTGTACGTTTCCTGTCTCCAGCCCCCCTAGATGACCGCTATATGATATATAACGCGATTTTATCGCGCTCAATTGTCAAATTACTATGCAGTTTGACAGTTAGACACGATAAAAACGTGATATCATGTAAATTGTGATACTCATGCTATGGGGACAGGAGCACATCCATTTTTTTTTGAATGTGTATGCTGTTGGTTTATTTATTGTGACTTCCCTCATTTCTGTGTTTGTTTTAAATAAAGTATTGTCTGTTGTAATTAATGTTTTTTTTGTAGGAGTACTATAAGAAGTCGAGGGATAGACCCACAAATCCTTTACAAGAAGGTAGGGATTTTCTAAAGAAGGAAGATGTTTTGTCAGCGATGGCTCCGGAGACTTTGACCAGTACTCTTGCCAATACCAATGTGCATTATGTCATCATGAAGCATGAAGGTGGTGAAGAAATGAAGAAGAAGAAAAGGTAAGAATCATCATCTTCATCAGCTTATTAGTGTCCCAACTGCTGGGGCACAGGCCTGCCCTTTGGATGGAATAGGGAGATAGGGTCGTGGCCCACTATAGTGGTGGTGGGTGCTAACGACTGCAGATGCAGTCGGGACCGTCGGCTTAACGTGCCTTCCGAAGCGCGGAGGAGTGAGAGATAGTAAATTTTTTTTGGTCACCTATCCAATGACTGAACTCTGCGAAAGTTGCTTAGCTTCAACGATCGCAGCCGAACGCGCTAACCACTTGCGCCATCGAGCTCCTCGAGGAAGAGGTAAAAATCATTATGCAATGCAAAAATTCTTAAATCATTAATAAAAAGAACTAAAAAATTGGGTTCCGTTAGCCTAGCTTCAAAGTAAGCACTGTAGGCTTGTGTTATGGGATACATATATACTGATGAATATATATAAAGTTTTATTTAGAAATACATATTAAATATCCATGACTGGAGTACAAAACTTCAATAATAATAAAAAAAAAACTTTTATTTTGCCATAAAGTGTACAACATTTTAAGTTACTAAGTACATACATAGTTTTTAAGTTATAAAGTAGGTAATAGGGGGCTAACTACCGTGGGGTTAATGCATGCTCAATTTACGGATCTGTCAAAGTCCACGCTTAGTTTCTTGAGCACGATCGGAAATACAGTCAAAACAGAATATAATGACATCGTTTATAACGACGTGTCGGTTATTACGACCAATAGGGTATTTGACAAGTTTTAGAAAACGATCTCTCGTTATTGACTAATGTTTATGGAGTCCGTAAAAAGTGGATATTCATCATTCTGTTGTGTATTTCAGTAAAAATAACCAAATCAAAAACTCCATTTTCAAGTTGCCGCGAAAAAGTTTTTCTGGACAATATGGCGTCTTACTAGTTTGTGACGTCACACGACTGGTATTAAAACGTCAAACGATACAATGTAATGACACTTTAACCGGAAGTTTACTTGCGTGTGACGTCATTTTAGGCTCCGCCAATCCCAAGCGTTTTGGGTCACGTGACAATAGACAAGAAAACTAACACTAAAACTATTATCTTGTTCGTGGGTTTTTAGTAAAATTATGAATATAATTTTTGGTAAAAAATGTAAAAACCCCTGCCAATATTCATTCTAAACACAGATGCTAACAATTGGCACTTTATTTTTAATACTGTCAAATACCCTATTGGCAAGGTCCCGACCGAAACCCTATTATCCTTATGTAAACAAACCGCCTGTAACAACACCGGTTTTTTTTTTTCGTATGGCATTGTCTTGTCACAGGAATCAGACTTTAAAATCTAAATGTCTTAGCCAATTGGCAGCGTCGTTATCGAGGGAGACCAGGTCCTCCATCGCACCATCGTATTTGTTAAGGGGACACTCCTGTACGATGTGTTGGATGGTCTGTACGTCGGCACCGCATTCACATCGGGGCGAGTCGATCCAGCCGCATCGATGTTTGTAGTGGGCACAGAGACCGTGACCCGTCCGCAGTCTGTTGAGGAGGCACCACTCTCGCCTGGGTAGATCAAAGCCTGCTGGCCTCACTCCTGGGGTGAACTTTTCAGCAAGTGTTCCTTCCGTCGTTGTCTTCCAGTCACTCCTCCATTGGGTCCTCGCATCAAAACCATCCTCGAGCATGGTGGCTGCCGTATGGCATGGTGGTCTGCGGGACTTGAGTCTAGGTTCGCTTCGGTCTAGGAATTCTTCACGTATAGGTAGTTCAGCGTTGGCTTTGATCTTCCTCACCTCTCTAGAAAGGGCCAGTTTACGGCGACTGGCTGGGGGCTCTATATTGCACAGAACGGGAAGCCAGTGTGTTGGGGTCGATTTAATTGTTCCTGAGATGCACCTCATGGCCTTATTAAGTTCGACGTCTACCTTGTTCGTGTGGGCACTATTCAGCCAAGTTGCTGCACAGTACTGCGCCGTTGAGTACATGAGTGACAGTGCAGTAGTACGTAGGACATCCGCGCTTGCTCCCCAGGAGGTACCAGCCAACTTGTGTAAGATGTTGTTACGGGTCTGCAGTTTGCGAGAGGTCTGACACAGGTGGTTGTTAAAAGTGAGCGAAACTCCCAGGTATTTCGGGTTCCGGTTGTGGTTCAATAGTTTTCCGTCCCACGCTATTTTGAGCTCGCGATCTGCAAGTTGGTTGTGTAGGTGGAAACAGCTGACTTCGGTTTTGCTCGTGCTTGGAGTCAAACGCCACAGCTTGAAATAGCGGGACATTGTAGCAGCATCTTCGGACAGGCCTGTTTCCAGCGTACTGAATCTGTTGCTCTGTAGTGCGAGGCAGATGTCATCGGCATAAATAAATTTCCTGGCGCTGGTGCGAGGTAGGTCGTGGATGTAAAGGTTGAAGAGGGTGGGCGCCAGAACCGACCCTTGAGGCAACCCGTTGGAGAGTACCCTTGTGTCGCTCACTTTGCAGCCGAGGTGCACTCTGAATACGCGTCCAGACAACATGTTGGCGACCAAGCGAAACATATTCATGTTTGGGACTACTTTAAGTAGTTTGAGTAGCATCCGTCCGTTCCGTCCCTCCATACTGTGTCGTAGGCTGCAGTTAGATCTACGAAGACGGCACCCGTCTTTAAACCTTTCTGGAATCCCGCTTCTATGTGGGTGGTTAGAGCCAAGACCTGGTACAGCTCCTACCAGTCCTGAAGCCCGCCTGTTCTACAGGGATGACCTGGTTTATCAGAGGAGCTATGCGTTCCAGCACTATCCTTTCGAGGAGCTTGAAACAGTTGCTGAGGAGTGCAATCGGGCGATAGCTCGTGGGATCATCCGCTGATTTGCCTGGCTTAAGCAAGGCGATGACTTTTGCTTGCTTTAAGGCCCCTGGCAGAGATTGGGAGTTGAGGATCACAGTAAACATATTTGATATCCATGTTCTAGCGTGCACTCCGAGGTGAATTAGGAACTCGTTGTATATTCCATCGCATCCAGCGGCCTTCCCAGGCTTTAAGTAACGCACGGCTTTACAGACTTCATCTAGAGTGAACGGTTCGGAAAGGAACGGAGAGTTAACTGTATTTTTCTTAAGCTCACTTAGTAACCGTTTGGTTCTTTTTGTATCCAGTTTATCCCGACGAGCTCTCGAGACGTTGACCATTCTGTTCGCTATCTTGTTTGGATGGATGTCTGAGGAACTAGAAGAAGCCGAGTGGCAATCATTGCGCTATTTGCGCTCCATCCTGGTATGTACTCCTTTCGGAACCCTCTACAAACATGTTTTTTCGCGGTTTGCAGGATAAGGTTGGCAAAACGGTTGTAGTTTTGAGGAATCGACTTAATCCATCTGACTCCAGCGTCAACGTCACGGGTGAAGGACTCCCAGTCGGTGCGTTCGAAGTTCCATCTTGGAAGAGGCATCGATTTCGCGAAAGGTATTTTTAGGCCTACTTCTGTAGTGATTGGTCTGTGTTGGCTGTTCTGGAATTGACGTAGTACCACGCGTTTGGCAGGTAGTGGCCGACCGTTCCGTGTCCTTGGTGACAAAAGTTAGGTCAGGGTTATACTCTTTTCTCCAGCGTGCGGAATAAAAGGTTCCTCTATCTTTTGCGTTGAAAACCAAGTACAAGTTTTGGTTTTCAGCCCACTGTGCCAGCTCGGTACCGTTTGCATCGTCTGCATTATAGCGCTATGTGGTATGGTGGCTGTTGAAGTCCCCAGTGTAGATGCAAGGGTGATCAAAGGCGGGCAGGACGCTTGGTTTCCATCTGGCCTGCGGAGGTTTGTATACGTTGACGATCGTGGTGTCTCCGACACGTATAGCTATTGTATAGTTATTTTCTGTCTTGTCTGCACATACAGCTTTAGCTTCAGTCAGGTTGGATCTTGCATACGTCGCTATCCCGTATTTGGGGAAGGGCTTTGACGACAGTGTAACCTGGGATCTGGCCTCTGTTAGTCATATCCTGATCGTCTCTTAAATGTGTCTCTTGGACAGTTAGAATGTCAATATGCTGGTCCTTTAATAGTTTGGCAATATAGTCACATTTGGCTCTACTTATACCTTCTATGTTAAGTTGGCAAATACGGATTGAAGTTCCGATATCTTTAGTCACAGGGCTCTGAAAAGAGCCGTTTTGCGCATTTGTGGACATTTGTGATTTGTTTGATGATTCCTGTGAGTCGCTGCGAGGCTCTGGGTTCGTATTTGAGCAGTGCAGCGGCCAGTGATTGCTATTCTTTGGCACCACCCAGGGGACACGTGCAGGGTAACGGCGGGTAATCTTCCTGCGGACGTGAATAGCAGTCGTCCCCCAAACAACACCGGTTATAGCGAAATACCGCTAAAAACAACTGATAGCCAATGAATATTGATAAAGTTCATATCGATATTCATCCTAAAAACAACAAACCGTTTTACTTGTTGTAGGTACTTAAAATTTTTCATAATAAACTTATTAATTCTTTTTCCTATACTTCATTTGAAACCAAGCTTATATTGCATATAATGCGATTCAACTAAGAATATGACCGACTGGGCGCCATATTGTGACGTCATAGCTGTCAATTCAAACCAAATAGGTAGAGTGAGCAAAACAAAGTTTTTATTTAATAAAACTTATTTACTAAAATTAAGTGAGAAAAAACATCAGATTTTTTAATAAAATTAATTTACTAAGATTGAGAAAAAACACAACCGATATTTAATAATATTGCTTTAATAAGACTGTGTGAGAAAAAACAAAAATCAGAATCTAGCTCTTCAATGCCGCTCATCTCTGCATTACCGCCAGAGTAGTTATGAATAATCATGCTAGTAGTTATGAATAATCATGCTAGTAGTTATGAATAATAATTTTAGGTCACATACTAACATGCATCCTTTATGTAAACGAAAGTTTTAAATCGAGTTTCTGAACGAAACATAAAGTGACATTTGGTTGACGATTTAGGTTATCAACCATTCATAGCCAAAGCTCAATAAAATAAAAAAAATATCAACCAATATTAATTATCAATATTTGTTATTGTTTGTTTAAAAATGTTTGGTTTTTATTCTAGAATTAGCTGAGTGCTAAAAAAGTGTTCCGAGATTTTTTTGCAAACCGTACTCTTCAAGCGATATTTGATAGATGGAGGTCATTGGCTTTCCTATTCTTATTTGAATCGCGTTATACATATGACAATAATATGACTACTTGTGTATAATTGCTTAAAACAACTATCGGACATACCGTCCGAAGTTATATGGTCCCTTCAATGTTGTTATATGCGGTTTTGTCTGTATTGCCCTTTGAAATTGACACACATGTCCTTTCCGCAGAAACTATGTTCGCATATGTAAAAAAAGTGGCGAACAGGAGTCTCCTGAACACAACTGTCCTGAGGTAAGAAGTCATCATCATCATTCTATTAATGGCCCCACTGCTGGGGCACAGGCCTCCCCTGTCCCCTGGATGGAACAGGGAGATTGAACCACGGCCCACCACGCGAGCCCAGTACGGATTGGTGGGTGCTAACGACTGCAGATGCAGCCGGGACCAACCGCTTAACGTGCCTTCCGAAACCTTCAGATAGTAAATTCTCGGCCACCCATCCAAATGAACGAAGTAACGAAATCAAATTATACTTTATTGAAATTGGACGTATAAAAAGCTCTTTTTAATCGTCCAATATTTTTTCCTGTCACCCATTTAGGAAGTCTTTTAGCTGATGAGAAGAATTGGGCGCAAGAAACTCATCATCATCAGCCTATTAATGTCCCCACTGCTGGGGCACAGGCCTTCCCTATGGATGGAATAAGGAGATTGGGCCATGACCCACCACGCGGGCCCAGTACGGATTGGTGGGTGTTAACGCCTGCAGATGCAGCCGGGACCAACGGCTTAACGTGCCTTCCGAAGCACGGAGGAGCTTGAGATAGTAAATTTCGGTCACCCATCCAATGACCGACCACTGCGAAAGTTGCTTAACTTCAACGATCGCAGCCGAACGCGCTAACCACCTGCGCCATCGAGCTCCACATGAAACTCATCAGCATTTAACTGAAGTAGCAACATTTAGATAAAATCTTGTCGCTAACAATAGAAACATTAATTTTAAGTTATCTAAGTTACATGTGAATTTACAGACGAGTTACGACAGGGGCTCTACTCTCTTTCTCCGAAACGAACTTTCGGTAACGAAGTTCAAACGATTTAATTTTGCCAATTTAAAGTTATACACACTTAATTTGAGCGATAAACTATCAATTTGAAGCTTTCTTTGTGTAGGCTTACAAAATCTACACCTCAATCTTCAATATTTATCATCATCATTAACAGCCTATTAATGTCCCCACTGCTGGGGCACAGGCCTTCCCTATGGATGGGTTAGGGAGATTGGGTCATGACCCACCACGCGGGCCCAGTGCGGGTTGGTGGGTGCTTCAATATTCCGATGACGAATATTATTATAGTTAAAAACGAACCAGAAACATAGAAAGAAAATGCGAAGTTTCGATCGAAATTTTGTTTTTAGTTGAATTAGAGTAGGCCTCCAGGGGGCCATTCGCCTAATGGAAATGCTTTGGAATCAAAGCATTTCCGTACAAAACAGCATCTCAAGATCGCTCTCAGAGTTGAGAGCGTTCTATTCATACGGGCCTTAGACGCCATATTACAATAATAGTTTTATTTAAATAAAGAACAAGTGTTATCTTCTCATTAGCAGAGAAAAATACCTAAAAAGTTAATAATAATTTATAACTAGGTATTAGACAGTACTTACGAGACCGGCGATGTAGGTAGGTACAACGAGGAACATATTCATTTTTTTCACTAGAACTTTTTATCAAATCAATCACACTGGTAGTACACTAATTAGTTGTTTCAAATCAAAAAGTATTTACACTAGCAATAAAAAGAGACTTAAATTGTTGCTGTAAACCACCATTTTGCTGCAAACAAAGGTAGGCACGTTTGCGGACGTGTCTTTCCACCTTTTTTGAAGTGTCCCTATCAATACTCACTGCACAAAATGCAACTTCTATGGTTTGGGGACTCATTCGTAAACCAAACCTACTTCGTCACACTCGCGATAGCAGTACACCATCTCTAAATATTCTTGGTTCGTATACCGAGGCATAATGAAATTATCACAGTGTATGTCACTAAGTCAAAAGATGCGCACGCCCACGCGCGATTGATATTCTTGCGACTGCACTTTGCATGCAATCAAAGCAAAGCACCGCACGCGGGGAAGAGGGGAGATGGGCGGAATTCACATCATCAAAGACGCCGCAATCGGCGCTAGGGCTGCATGTTTCTTGCCAGCATGCGGCGCGCCGCCCGCCCGTGCTTGCCGCAAAACAACATATTATTATGTGTATATGTGTGTGTGTGTGTGTGACTGTGGCTGTGATTAAATGTGTTCGGGATTTCATGACGTGGGCATATCTATTATCTTATGAATAGGGCTATTATAAAGTTAATGATTATTTAAATGATCGAAATGCATGGACATAGTGTTTCTTGTAATTTGTTATTTGATGGGTATGAGTCAGTTTTTATAACAGTAATATGGTACCTATCTAATGCCGCTTCCTATATACTAAATATAAAATTTATTGTAACTATATATCTATATCCTAAATAATGTAATGGAAGGTGACTTTAGAAGTATCTCTGAAGTCATTTTTCAACCTTAAGACTCTGTATATATCAATACAGGGAGAAAAAAGCAGCCCTTGCTGAGTTTCTTGCCGGTTCTTCTCAGTACAAGGTCTCCCGCCGTAGTTTTGCGAACCGATGGCGTAGCTTCTTGACCTTCACAAGTGCTTGTAACAGCCTAGACTGAATAAATGACTTTTCATTTCATTTCATTTCTCACGCCTGAACCACTAAACGGATTTGGATGAAATTTTGTACGCATATAGCTTATGCCCTGGATTGAGACATAGACAATTTATTTTATCCCGCAAAACTGTTTGTTTGCTGAGGGATTTTCAAAAAAACTGAAGTCAACGTGGATGAAGTCACGGGCGCCTGCTAGTTAATTTATATACGGACTTTATTTTTTTTAGTGCAATCGAGTTTATGATACCAGGTCGAAAATGATGGATCATATAAGGTACGCACATCGCACTAAGACCATAGTGTGCGAACTGTGCGGAAAGAAATTTCTGGTGAGTCGCTTTCATTCAATTCACTATTACTAAACTGTATTTAGCCATAGACAAACATTGTCTTTCAGTACATAATACGACGAATCGTTCAGGCGCAATTAATGAACGGTGGTTTAATTGTGTTGTAACTATTTAATTATAGTTTTAGAAATTAATTATTTACATTGTGAAAAAATTCGTAGGAAAAGATCAATAATTTAAAAAAAAAACTGAAGTATTAAGGTATAGAGAAGCAAAAATATACTCGCTTCTATAATAAAGTAAATATTTTAACCACTATCATATTTCTTTTCCATTTTTTGTCATCTACCATATTTTTAGAGGTAACAGCGTCGAAATACTATATTTCATAAAAAAAAAGTTGATAACCCTATCGGTAAATGATAAATATTCTTTTTTTTTAAAGCATAATCGACGTAATTATTTATGTACACATACAGCCAGTATTTAAAAATAGAATATGTCCAGTCCATATATGTATAGCTTCTAGGCGCGAACAAACACATGTCTATAATATAAAAATGAATCGCTGAATGTGTTGCCAAGCGCAAATATCGAGAACAGCTGAACCGATTTCGATAATTCTTTTTTTAGAATATTTCTTGAAGTAATAGGATGGTTCTTACGCAGAGAAAAAAAAATTGTCTGAAAAAGTTCAAATTTTGCGACAGGACATTTTGCGTGATTAAACAAACTTTCACATTTAGTAGGATTATGTTTGTTAAAACCGAACTTCGTACTTTAGACAACCAGCTTTCTGAAATGCCACCAACGCAAACATAGCGGCGAGAGGCCCTTCCTATGTAACGGGTGTCCGCGCACATTCATCACCCTCGCACAGTTGAAACGCCACCACTTTCAACACCATCAGTACAAACCACACCACTGCGATGTCTGCGAGAAGAGGTTCTGCACCCCCAAGGAGTTAAAAGAACACAGATCGGTGAGTTTTCACAATTTTGGGGTCACATTTTCGTACCTCAAACTTAGATTAAAACAAAAAGGGTAGATACGGTACGCTCATACTTGCATCAAACAAAAACTGATCCCACGGCAGCGCGAACAGGACGGCGAGATCCGCGTCACTGCATTACCGACCCGAACGAAACAGCGCGTTAAGTTTCAACGGCAGCGCGAACGAGACGGCGAGATCCGCGTCACTGCACTACCGACCAATCACGCGACCAGTACTCGACGTCACTACCGAATAACATTCAAAACAAACAGCAATTTTTATGAAAAAAATATATTTTGTAGTAGTTACGAATGAAAAGTGATGCTGTGGGTGTTATTTTTAGTTCTTGAGAAATTTGAGCACTTTTTAAAAACACACTTTGCCATTGTTTTATCATATAAACACAAAATATTAGCAATATTTCTTTTTGGCGTTCACATGTACGTCGTTTGCATGTCCAGTTGTGACTAAAGCGATTAGGGTCGTGGACCACAATTCATGTGGATCACTTTTGTGAGGCTAGTGCCGTATCTACCCTTTTTGTTTTAATCTAAGACCTCAAAACGAAAAAAAAACGAAAACTACCTAAATACGGACGTACCTATTCGATTCCATTCATTCACACTTGGTCGTTTACCCAAATTTCATTGGCAATAACGACCAAGTGCAATTGAGCCATCACACAGGGTATTTGACAAGATTCAGATAATTCATCATCATCATCGACCCATGCTCGTCCATTGCTGAACATAGGTCTCCCGATTTTCTGCCACTCTCATCCAGCTCACACCAGCCAGCCTACGAATGTCATCATCCCATCTTGTCTCAGGGCGTCCCACACTACGTTTACCGAGTCGCGGTCTCCACTCAAGAACTTTACGGCTCCATCGGCCGTCAGTTCTGCGGCTAATATGACCAGCCCACTGCCACTTCAGTTTGCTAATTCGGTGGGCTATGTCGGTGACTCTGGTTCTCATTCATCATTTCTGATGCGGTCCTTCAGGGATACTCCGAGCATAGCCCTTTCCATAGCTCTCTGAGCAACTTTAAACTGGTGGACCAGTCCAGCCGTGAGTGTCCTAGTCTCGGCGCCGTATGTCATAACTGGGAGGACGCACTTCAGATTATTATCTCGTGCTATTTACTAATGTTCATGAACTAAAACTATGAATAAAAAAAGATGGATATTCGTCATTCTGTCGTGTATTTCAGTAAAAAAAATTAAAGCGAAAATTCCATTTTCAAGATGCCGCGAAAATGTTTCTCTGGACATAGGGTGTATTCCGAAATATACATCAGTATACTGGCCAGTGCTCGGTGTTTCCCTACGTGATAAGATCCGAAATACGGAGATCCGTAGAACGACCGGTGTGTACGACATTAGACAGCCCGAAGAGTTAGCACGCTGAAGTGGCAATGGGCAGGCCACATCGCTCGAGGATCTGACAACCGTTGGGTAAGAAAGGTCCTCGAGTGGCGACCGCTTACCGGACGACGCAGCGTGGGGCGGCCCCCAACACGGTGGACTGAGGACATCGTCAAATGTGCTGGGAGCCGCTGGATGCGGATAGCGCAGGACCGCGCATTGTGGCGTTCTATGGGGGAGGCTTATGTCCAGCAGGGGACGAAGAAAGGCTGATGGATGGATGGATGGATGGATACATACTGGCCAGTGGTAATGACGTCATGAATCCGACGCCATATAGTGCTGGTATGCTACCATATTTTTACCGGGAAAACAAATATGACGTAAGACCGAGCGTGCGTAAGCAGCGTTCAAAATTTTCATTCTTTTTTATTTAAAGAACAAGAATGGCATACGAACAAAAAGAATTCCTTTTAATTGATGAGGTGATTAAAAAATCTACTTTATTCGCACTATTTTAAATATTTCGTCGATTTATGACGTCAGTGCACTGGCCAGTATATTTCGGAACCATTCACCAGTATAGCGTCGATTCATGACGTCATTAGGACTGGCCAGTATACTGGTATATATTACGAAATACACCCATTATGGCGTCTCACTAGTGTGTGACGTCACACGACTGTCATTAAAACGTCAAACGATACGATGTAATGTCACTTCGACCGGAAGTTTACAAGCGTGTGGCGTCATTTTGGTCTTCGCCAATCCCAGGCGTTTTCGGTCACGTGACAATAGCAATAAATAATAATAAAATAAATGAATATTTCCAACACTCACACCAATTAGCCTAGCCCCAAAGTAAGCACTGTAAGGCTTGTATTATGGGATGCTAGGGTAACGGATAGAACACATATACTGTACATATATAAGTATATTTATATAGAATTAGATATTAAACATCCATGACTGGAGTACAAATGCTCGTATTTATCACACAAACATCTTCCCCTACCGGGATTCGAACCCAGGACCTCTCGAATCGGCGACACCATGAAACCCGGCGTAAAAAACCAATCATCCACGGAGGTCGTCAAAAAAACTACTATCTCTTTCGTGGGTTTTTAGTAAAATAATGAATATTTTCTATGTGAAAATAGTAAAAATCCCTACCAACATTCATTCTTAATATAGATGCCAACAGTTGGCACTTTAATTTTTATACAGTCAAATACCCTATTATACAACTGTGGTATTAATGTAAATATAATTATAATGGATTTATTGTTTCTCCCCACAGTTTCATATAACTGGCAAACCCCATGCGTGTGATTTGTGCCCCATGAAATACAACCAGCAGCAGTCTCTTATGATCCACTATGCCTTTGTAAGTATTTATTTATTTACGATTTATTGTCATTTTACAACAAATGGCGGACTTAATGCCACATGGCATTCTCTACCAGTCAACCATCGGGCTAAGCGGAGACATTATGCGTTAAAGTAAATAAAAGATAAAGGCGAAAGAAAAAACAAAATTAAATTGATGAAACTGCATGATATTTAATATAAAAATTTTAATACATAACATCTATAAATATACCTACATAACTACATATATAAACATACATATACTTATATATACGATAAATACCTAAAGGACAATGTTAAAATTGGCCTAAGAACCAACACCAATTTGGCATTTATGATAATTCTAAGTATATTTTTTGCGATAATTTATCAGTATTTAGATTGTGACGGACACTTCCAGTTAAGTAAGCTGAATTAAAAAGTTAAAAAAAATCTGAGACAAAAATACCATTTTATGTGTATAATCTATGGCATTCGTGCATTCCAAAGAGCAGTATAATATACCGGAGAATGAATTCTCGTTTCGGATTACCTGTTGTGCGTGTTTATTTACGATTGCTTTTCCTTTAATTTAAGTATTTCGGCTATCAAAAATGCTGAACAATGTCCTTTATACAATAATAAATACTACTATACTTACTTAAGAATACTATAATAAAATAAAATACTATTACAAATAATATTAATATTGGGCGGATTGATCAGAGTTTGATCATAATATAGAAATTGAAATTGTTATAACTTCTTAGCGAAATGCTGACGTACGAGGACTAATACGAAGTATTATAATCTGTTCAACCTTACTTTAAGAGCCCTTTTACAAAATTGCGCCGCTGCCGTACTGATCGGCGCGTAGGTAGATTTGCACTAGTATATATTGCATTTTACGGGTGATGTTTCGAGTCTTATAAAATAATTAATAATGAACTAATTATAAAAATATATACATATTTCAGCAGTTCAAAGATGGTAGATTAGTTTTATGTAAGTTTTTAATAGTAATTCTATTTAATTCAATATCGAAATACGAGGTAAACCGGTATTATTTTTTGGGAAAACTCACGGAGGTTAGATGTTTTTTTTGATAATTAATGAGATGGAAAATCAAAATTCTAATACATTGTGTTACAACAAAAACATATTTCTGATGTCGTAGGAATTAATTTGATCTAATTTATTGAACATTATTTAGAGATTCAGGCGTTTGAAATTGTGTATATTATCGTTTTTTCCGTAAACTAGCTGCAGTAGAAGGATCAATATAAAAAAGGAAAATAGTATTTGTACTCACGTACTGCGGATAGGGTCCTTTTTTTTGGATAGGCCCCATCCTATTAAAAACAATATGCAAGTCCCTATCCGATAGGGAGATTGGGCCATGTCAGTGCGGATTGGTGGGTGGCATATAAATATTTTTAACTTCTTTCGGTTATTATTATGTAACAGACAGACTGACACACTTTCGCATTTTATAATATTAGTATAATGCGATTCAACTAAGAATAGGACCGACTGGGCACCATATTTTGACGTCATAGCTGTCAATTCAAACCAAATAGGTAGAGTGAGCAAAAAAATGTTGCTATTTAATAAAACTTATTTACTAAGATTAAGTGAGACAAAACATCTGATTTTTTAATGAAATTAATTTACTAGGATTGAGAAAGAACACAACCGATTTTTAATAGTATTTCTTTATTAAGACTGTGAAAAAAAAACATTATCAGAATCTAGTTTTTGAACGCAACATAAAGTGACATTTGGTTGACGATTTAGGTTATCAACCATTCATAGCCAAAGCTCAATAAATGAAAAAAGAACAACTAATATTAATTATCAACATTTGTTATTGTTTGTTTAAAATTGTTTGGTTTTTTATTTCTTGAATCAGCAGAGTGTTAAAAAAGTGTTCCGAGATTTTTTTGCAAACCGTACTTTTCAAGCGACATTTGACAGATGGAGGTCATTGGCTTTCCTATTCTTATTTGAATCGCATTATATGGATAATAATATTTTTAGTTTGCAACAGGCTCACAATGAACAACGGCCGCACCAGTGTCAGACATGCGCGAAATCTTTTGACAGCTTGCATACCTTCAAGACTCACATGTCCATGGTAAGTTTGTTTTATTTTAATCAGTCAATCAAAATCATTTATTCAGTTTGGGCTATTACAAGCACATATGAATATCTAGAAGCTACGCCATCGGTTCGTAAATCTACGGCGGGAGACTTTGTACTGAGAAGAACCGGCAAGAAACACTCAAGAGTCGTCTAGTTGAAAAATAACTTCAGAGATGATTCATGAAGTCACCTTTCATTAGATAATGTGAAATCATATATTTTATATTTTATGTTCACCTGCATTTTGATGTCACGTGTCAATAGATCTTACCTATGAAATTACCTATCTGCCGTACTGGCTATTTCAAGTCCATTTTTTTCTTTTTTCGTTACAAATTCTAAGTTCAAATTATTTTTATTTTTAAATTATGCAACGACGTATACGGAGCGAACACTACTAACGATCACATCAATCATTTTTGGTTTGCCCGCTTCCGTTCTGGAAGTTTCGACCTAAGGAATGAACCCCGTGTACGACCGAAAACTTGTCGACAATGACGAGTCAAAGGCAATTGTGGAACCTGATGATTCTCTCTCTATTTTGATGTTCGCATCAAAACAATATTGCTCCATTTGCGTCGAATTGGCAAAAGCTTGACATATGAGTGCCCCACGAATTGAATGATCGCCATTATATTTTCATAAATGTATGGCGATGCCAGTGGTAAAATATTAATTTCTTTAAAATTTTCTCTAACAAAGTCTCTTGACTTCAAGTTGTATATAGCGCGACTAGTTCTCTGTTGCAGTATGAAAATAATATCGGTATTAGCAACAGAGGCCCACAACAAAAGGCCATACGTCATAACGCCGCTATGAAAGTAACCAAAGTAAACCAATCTTGCCGTTTCCATATCAGTTAAGAGTCTTACTTTTTTAAGCCGCCAAGCTTTGTCTGCGATGCGAGATGCGAGTCTAAAGTAATAAACAGAATTTTTGTAGAATCCACTAACTCTGCAGGCTGGTTGTTTATTTTTATACTAGTATTAGTCTGTCTCACATTAGGTAGAGTAAACCCAACTCATTTTCTTTTACTAGAGTTTAGTTTTAAATTATTTACCATAAACCAATGAAGTTCACAATTTACTTAGTCATAACAATCATTTCCTCTTCTAGCTTTAAGCACTAAAGAGGTGTCATCAACAAATAGCACTGTCGCACACAAATCTCTTGTAAAGTGAGGAAAGTCATTGATATTAATAAGGAAAAGCAATGGGTCTAATATTGAACCCTGGGGCACGCCAATACAAGTGGATGCTCCTGTAGACTCAGCTTTATCTATAACTACATACTTTCTGTATCCTAGCAGAAAGATAAGAATGTATCATACTTAGTGACATGTTTGACCCATCTTTTGTTTAACAATGTTTTATAGCTGACGCAGTCAAACGCTTTTGATAAGTCACAAAAATGCTACATTTCACAACCTACATGCCACTCTCGAGTAGGCGACACCTTGGAACCTGGCGTACAAACCGATCGGTCACGAAGGTCGGAGGCTTTCTAGTAAAATTTTGTTTAGATTTAAACATGCCCTTTCTTGCACAGAATCACCCCGAGGAGTCGTTCTATAGTTGTGAACAATGTTCCAAGAAATTCAACAAGGAGCAGGCGCTTAAGGCTCACGTTTTGTCGGTAAGTTACGAGTCTACAGTATTACCAACCCTTACCAAACTTTTCCCCTAAATATTTTTTAAAATCCCCTAAATATGCATTTTTTTAAATACCTACTTATTACCCAAATTCTTTCGTTGCTCATAAATTAAAACGTTACATATTTAGTTACAGTAAATTATTTTATTGAATAAATTCAGTTTCCGAAAGGACAATCCGAAACTTAGTAAAAAAACATGCCACACAGTCAGTTCAGTCGTTTCATATCGTGATGCGTTCCATGCGCATAGAATGGAACGCTTCTACGCACAAAACTGAAAGAAAACACACGCTTTGTTTTACGATTTAATGGCAAGTTTTGATAAAAGCCCCTAAAAGAACCCCCGAAAAAATTCAGCCAAGTCTGTTTTAACACTTCTAGCCCCTAAATCTGGGGGCAAAACCCCTAAGTTGGGAACCGTGCGAGTCTACATTATATGCTGTTTAAAAAGTATGAAAAATAAAGTATCAATTGATGGCATATATGCATTTAATATGAATATGAGCAGCGATTTTACAATTCTGAGAGAACTATAAATTAAGAACTTTTCGTAACGCGTTCGCCAGCTTACTCCTCAAGTCAAGCGTGCGTATAGAAGTTTGCTTATTTCCACCATTCAACTCCTTTCTTATTTCCGACAACAGACGTGTCATTTTTGTCGGTTTTTGCTTGGTACCTTTATAATATAGTATGTAATTTTGAATAGATTAGAGACACGCACTTGGCTATTTCTTTCCAGGCACATGCGAACAACAAGCTTTACACGTGCAAGATTTGTAGTAAAACATTCAATCAACTGCATTCACTCCAATTGCACAAACAGAAGGTACACCAGAACCCAAGGAAGAAAAGCAGAAACCACAAAGTCACCGTTGAGAAGACGTCTGAAGATAATTCTGATGAAGCCAATGAAACTATTGATGACTGATTTGGTTTATAATTTAAATAATATTTACTTTATACAGGGTGTAAAAAAACCTATAAGAAAATCTAAAACGACGCATTCTGTACACCCTAATAAGTAATATTACAAAATATTCTGTGGGAATCATTTGTATTTTTAAGTTAAACAAAAACACTTTTTTTCTAGTTCGCAATGTATACGCAAAGAATGTGCCTGCGTGTATGTGTGTGCGTGTGTGTAAGTACCTCGATAAAAAGTGTCTAAATAACGTTTTGAAAATATTATTGCATAAATCTTAAAAAAATTGTGACTGATCTTTAATACATACACGCCGTGAATAGGGTATTTGACAGTGTTAAAAAACAAGTGCCAAACTGTTAGCATCTGTGTTTAGAATGAATATTGGCAGGGGTTTTTACTATTTTTACAAAAAAAATATTCATACTTTTACTAAAAATCAACGAAAAACTGCCACGTGACCCAAAACGCTTGGGATTGGCGGAGCCTAAATAAAAAAAAATAGTAAAAACTGCCAATATGCATTCTAAATACAGATGCTAACAATTGCCACTTTATTTTTAATACTTTCAAATACCCTATTCTAATAAAATTTGGTATGGATTTAGCTGACACCCTGGATTAACACATAGGCTACGTTTAACTGCGGGAAAATTTCCCTTCTAAACCGGGAGTAACACCGCGGGGCATAGCTAAAATTATGTTCGTTGTTCAAGCCATCGAATTACAAATCTAATTCATTCAGTATATGAAGAACTAGAACCCCAATCGCTTCAAAAACGTTCAAGAGAGCGTCTCTTGAACGTTTTCTATAGTTAAACATCAACTTTCACAGATTAACATTAATACATTTGTTTACTAAATGACACGTTTTCTCGTGGCAGTAAAGGAGATTGCTCAGCTTCCTTAAATGTCTCTCGCTTCGCTTCGGGGTAGAATTGATCAAAATACTTTCTTAGCGGATGCCTACGTCATAACATCTACCTGCATGCCAAATTTCAGCCCGATCCGACCAGTGGTTTAGGCTGTGCGATGATAAATCACTTTGTCAGTCAGTCGCCTTTGAGTTTAATAATTATAGATTACTGTAGAAACGAATATTATTGACGGACACCCCTGAGAACTTCTGTAAACCATATACACTGAATGATTTTGAGGTTATGTTTGCAAATATAATAGTTATTAAAATAATAAAAAACAAAAGTTATGTAGTTAACCAAAGAAAACTAAGAGATTTAGGTTATACAGCCATGTTCAGTAGCTTCATTATTTTTCTTATATTTATATAATAACCATATTTTAGATTTTTAGTATATCATACCTTATAATGTGTTTATGGAGGTGTTAGGCGAAAAATGTATGGCAATAGACTTTATAATGTCGCCTACCATCTATAATAATTGTCTTAGCACATTTGCATGTAGTGAAAATGATAATGTATTTGTGGATAGTAATACCACAGTGTAATAAAAAAAATGTTTTATTTTATCGATCTTTACAAAATCGATTTGTTTTGATGTTATATAAACAACTTTGATCAGTCTTTGGCTGAATGTTACTACACCCATAGCCATTAAAAATTATTTGTATGTTTTCCAAAACGGTAAAAATTAAAAGTCCTTTTTAAAATGAATATATTATACAAAGGTGTCCGTTAAAATATAATGATTGTAAACAAAGTATAAATTACACCAAGAATTACTGTATATGTCAATATTTTTTGTACATTTGGGCCAATTTGAGCAATCTCCTTAGTTTAAAGAATCATGCCATAATCGATACGTTATTATTGTCACTTGTTGTTTCACTCTATTGTTATAGCCAAGTATGGAGTAGTAATAATTTTATTTATATTTAATTTTATGATCCGGAACGGAATTCATGAAAATCTGTTCATAATTTTCAAGTGACAACAACAAATATTTATGAAATTAGCTCAAATTTTTCCGTTTGTTGCAATGTATTACACTAATATTATAAAGACGAAAGTTTGTGAGTGTGTCAGTTTGTGTACTTTTTCGCGTCTAAATGGCTGGAGCGATTTTAATAAAATTTGGTATGGGGTCATGACCCCCCCCCCCCCTGGATCCGCCCTTGATTAGCTGACACCCTGGATTAACACATAGGCTTCGTTTTACTGCGGGAAATAAACCGCGGGTTTACAGTTACAGTAGTTAACATGTATATTTAGGGTATTTTACGAACAGAATAATCGTGAACTGTTTCTGTAAGATTGTAGGCTTACATTTAATAAATAAAATGTTATTTTATACAATGTAGTTTTATTAAAAACTGTTTTTAATTGATTGAAAATGTTTAAGTCGTTTTTTTTTAATATGTCTATTTTAATAATTTAGTACACACACAATAAAACAGATAATATTTATTTTAACAGAAAGATTTCTAGTGATCATCCTATTTCCGGCAAATCCTCAAAGGATCGAGTCTTCTCCATACCACTCGGTCCTACCGTGTACCTCAAGTATTATCATACATTTTTGTGTAGAAAAATATGTCTAATTCATCTAGATATATAAGAATCAATTGCTATTCGTTAGTCTCGCAAAAACTCGAGAATGGCTCAACAGATTTATCTTATCTTGGTCTCGAAATGTTCGTGGAGATCTAGGGAAGGTTTAAAAGGTGAGAAAAATTCGAATTCTACAATACTGCCGTCCTCAAACTAAAGTGCGGCTAAGTGACACGCGGTCGATTTTTCAGCCCTAAATTGCATCTTGTATAGTTTTTAATACTCTATCGATCTGTCTTTAACAAGTCTTCGTATCTTTTAAAGTTTAAGTCTAAAAATCCGTCATGTGCAGAATGGTTACAAAGTTGCAATAATTTTAAGTTTACGAGCAGTTTTTTGGCCATATATCAAAAATTGGTTGTGTCATTTAGCCGCGTTTTAGCTTGAGGACGGCAGAATACAGCTCTACACCGAAGCGAAGCGAGGGCGGGCCACTAGTTAAAAACGAATTTAATTTATTATTTACTGCAACTTTTTTAACAAATGCGTCTAGTATCATAATGGATTCTGACGAAGAAGAATTGAAGGTGGGGAATCGCGTGAGTGGCGTGTGGCGGTATTGTATCGGCGCATTAGTGGCCGGTGCGGGCCACAAGAAGCGAGCAACGACGATTTGTAGCGTGCACCCGCCAATCCGCACTGGGCCCGCGTTGTGGGTCATTGCTAGTGTTGCCAGGTGTCCCGATTTGCGCGGAACGTCCCGATTTTCAAGCGTCCGGGGACGCTAAATGTCGCGATTAATCAAAAAATTAAATTTAGGATAAATAATGTATGTAATACTATACTTGCACTAGTAGTTTAAAACGCAATAAATTAAATACAGACTTAAAAACCCCTTGTTTTTTGTTAACTGTTCCGATCTGCAACCCTAAATGCCGATTTTTTTGTCCTCATGTACCGATTTAAAACAAATCGGGCCTGGGAACACTAGTCATGGCCCAATCTCCCTATTCTATCCATAGGGAAGGCCTTTACCCAGTAGTGGGGACATTAATAGGCTGATGATGGTGATATTTAATATTCAGTAGTTACCTTGTAAACCAGGTCATTATTCATTAAACTAACAGACATCGCTAGGCTCTTTCAAGTATTTGTAAATAAAAATGGTTACAAAACAATTTCGATAATCGTGTCTCGTCTCGACCCGAGAGTCTCGGGACTTAAGCGTGTGGCGGCCACCGGCGATAACCGTGTGCGGCGAGTCCATATGACATATCGAATTCGTAACCTTTCACACCTTTTTGAGAAAAAAAATACGTATGCTATTTTCTAAACTATAATAGCTGGCTTTTTAAGATCTCGTTTATCTATAAGATCACATAAATGTAAGACAATTGCTATAAACATAATTTCAAAAGGATAAGTAGGATATATAAAATGATATAATGTATTTTCTAATTTTCAAATTACTTTTTTAACTTCTCCTGAAAAATTGGCTTTTGGCGCTTACGGCAATTCATATTAAAAATGTAATATGACTGTGTCCAAGATCTATTTAATAAATATTTTTAAAACTCACTTAGTTTTAACTAAAGCTCGGAGTGACAACTAGTTTTATCTGATAATCAAATATATCTGTGGTAAATTATAGTTTTGACTAGTTATTTCTAGTTTTAACAAAGGCATTTAGTAAAAACTAATTTTAACTAGGGAGAACGCGTTCTATCAAAAAACGGGTTTTAACTGTAACATATACACTGGACGTACTTAAGCATATTATGCCGCTTACAACTTTTAAATCGTTGTATCTTAGGAACGGTGGCTCTTGGGAAAAAAACATTGAAACCTTTTTTAATAGATAATGTTATGATCTACAATTTTTGTTTAAAGTAATTTTACGATACAACTTACCGTTTTGATAAAAATCGCGAAGAACCTACTTTTTGCACCTCGAGTAGGTCAAAGGAGATTGCTCAGCTTCCATACATGTTTGGCCTAAAAACCAATAACCATGAAAAATTGTTTCCTAGATTCGAAATTATATATAAATTACCGTAGAAACGAATATTATCGACGGCCACTCCTGAGAACTTCTATAAACCATATACACTGAATGATTTTGAGGTTATGTTTGCAAATAGGCACATAGGTATTAGAATAATAAAAACCAAATAACTTATATAGGAAAATAGGGCAATCAAGCCAAGTACCGATATTATGTATTAGATTCAGGTATATAGAGCATGTAAAATAACAGATAATTGCCTGTTTTTACCCGGCTGCGCAATGCAAGAGCGCGAAGCGCGACGCGCAGACAGGGTTATGTGTTTAACAGTCTATATATGTATGTTTTTACCCGGCTGCGCAATGCAAGAGCGCGAAGCGCGACGCGCAGACAGGGTTATGTGTTTAACAGTCTATATATGTATGTTTGTTCCTTTGTGGCACACTAGAGACCAAACGCCTGGACCGATTTTGATGATTCATACATCAATCGATTCGTCTCAATCATGGGACTGCTACTAAAGATATGATAGTAATCAAAATTCAATATAGGCAAAATTAGGCGCCATATTGTGACGAAATAAAAAAAATAAGTTGACAAAATATGTCGAGTGGGGTATCACTGTCTAGATAATCAAAAATCATATTTAGGTTCCTAACGCCATTTTTCATTTTATGTGATTTTTTAGAATCTACAACGCTTTAAAGTTGTATATTAACCACTTACGCTTTTAATTTCAATCTAACGTTTATATGGATCATTGTTACTCTTTCACCTAAAAAATACTGAATGGATTTTAATGAAACTTAACAGTAATATAGCTCATATATGATAATTACAAATATATAATAATTTATGTAGTTATTGAGTGAATTGGCCAATATATAACAATAAGTGTCACATAAGACGGAAAAAAATCTCCCATCTGCGAGCCATTTTGGCCTTCACTGCAAAAACAATAAAAGTCATATGAATGTAATGTAGGGTGAAAATGTATCTCATAAATAATTCTAAATAACCCTGTCTGCGCGTCGCGCTTCGCGCTCTTGCATTGCGCAGCCGGGTAAAAAAAGTCCGTGACACCATATATCTATTTTTAATGTGTGAGTCGTTACCGCTAAAATAGTGCATCAAAACTAAAACATGATTTGATATCTATTTCCAAAATGCACATTTTGATTAACAAATCATTTTTTATCAAAACAAATACTTTTAACGCTTTTGATATATTTAAAGGCGATAAACTTTGCTCTTTACACTATGTCATTTCGACAAATATTTAAAAAGTTATAACGATGACAAAGTGATAGCGCGGTGTACTATGTAAGAGAAAAAAAAATGGGGTATTCGCAGTATCTGATCCTATACGAAGTACTAACAATAAAACTGTGATACAGTTCCTTCTTATTAAATGATGAAAACTATATTAACATAATAGGTATTTTATTGAATTTTAATGAAAAACTCAGAATTTTACTGTTTTTCATTTTTTTTATCGATATTACTTAATGTTACAAAAAAAGGTTTACTTAATATAATGACAAATAACCCATTTTTCGCTAGTAAGTACATACTTATTGCAATCCCTGTATTTATTAATCAGCTCGCGATAATATTGGTTTTGTAATAATTCTGCAAAATTCAAATTAAATAATGTAGATTTTTATAGGTAAATCACCCCTTTCATCACCCTACGCCTATAAGTACGATGTTGTAGCTAAGAACCAAGTTCCCATCTACTTCTATATGGGAATTCATTATATTCGATTTAGCTATTAGGGCACGGAAGCGCAACAAACAAACTCACTTTCGCATCTATAATATTATACTTACTAGTGATCCACCCGGGCATTGTACGGGCGAAATTTATTTATCGGGATAAAACATAGCCTATGTCACTTGGAAAAAATGTATTTAAATAAAGAAAAATGTTATATTAAATAATGTAGCTACCTTATGATGAATTAATATTTGAAACCGGTTCAGTAGTTTGAAAGATTATTTGTTACAAACATACAAATCTTGCCTCTTTATAATATTAGTATAGATAGTCGGGATAAGATAAGTATTTAATTGACGAAAAAGATTTAAAAATAAAGTAAGTAATAGGTTTATTTGATTATATTTGTAAAAGTTACTTAACATTTGTGCTTAACAGTGATACGTTATTCGGTATTTTTTTAAACAAAAAAAATTTGGAAAATAATTGCCATGATTGCACTACTGGGAGTACTCTTCATTCGAGCTTTACACTACCAATAAAAAAGGGTCGAACACAAAGTCTTTGACCTGTTAAATGTGAAAGCTTTAAAAGAAAACTACAAAGAGAACTATAAATTGATAATAGATGAGATTGCTATGGTGCTCTACCTAACGTTATGAAAATTTTATTATGCGCCTTTAGTTTAATCAAATATTATAAACTTTGCTTCGGTGATTGCATAATTATTTAATTTAGTGATCTAAGGCAGTTGCCACCATTGTCCAAAACAACAGACGGGAATTACTGCTTTCTTCAACCTGCGACATAAACGTCATTGATTGGTATTGTATATAGGCTGATTAAAAACATTTGAAGTTAACTTATGGCATCTACATATTAGGTTTCTGTGAATTATGTAGGTATATCAAATTATGAGACTAGGGACTGACACTGAATTTGTGTATATCACAATCATAGACGTCCGGCATTGACATGACAATGCAGCCATTGCCAATTTTAAATAGTCGACGAATAAAAGTAAATGAATTTTATATTTACTGCTAAACTATTAAAAAAACATAAACAAAAGATG